CTGAATTCATAGAAGTAGTTACTTCAATGGTGGTAATATATAAAAGAAAGATTGCATATAAGCATATAGTACAGGAAGAAAGATTTCGTACGTAGGAAGAAAGATGTGAAGTGATTTTAATCTCTTAGTTTAAGGGAAGACAGAGAGTATATACAACTACGCTGTTGTGATCGATTCTGAGCCATGTCACACACAGTCTCCAACCATTGGTTAAGATAGTCACGCGGACCCCAACCAAGTAGTGTGCATCAACGAACATGGCTCAGACTAGAAGTTAGTGAATTCAAACACTGATTCCACATTTTGGTTTGGTCGCCCTAGACTATCTTCCAACCATCCCCAACACTAGTCAGCATTGCGCGTCGTAGTAATCAGTGTTCAGGCATACGGGACACGTGTCCCAAACATCTCAGTCGATGAATATTCACAACCTCATCAACTGATTTACCATCATTCCTTAATACCCAACATCTAACCCCGCCATTACTTACCGATGATCTCAGCAGATGCAAGCAATATTCCGAAAACATCTATGATCAAATACTTCTACTTTTAATGGTCATGTTTCGAATCTGTAAAGTAGAACAGAACAAACAGCCATGCAGCATACTTGTCCATTTATTGATAGACATTTCATTACAGAATATTCATATGAATTACAAGGCCTCACTGAAAGAATAAATCTGAAAAAGTATAATTAATACACTGAATCATTTATTTACACTACTACTACTACTACTACTACTACTACTACTACTACTACTACTACTACTACTACTCCTACTCCTACTACTACTACTCCTACTCCTACTCCTACTCCTACTCCTACTCCTACTCCTACTACTACTACTACTACTACTACTACTACTACTACTACTACTACTCCTACTCCTACTACTACTACTACTACTACTACTACTACTACTACTACTACTACTACTACTACTACTACTACTACTACTACTACTACTACTACTACTACTACTACTACTACTACTACTACTACTACTACTACTACTACTACTACTACTACTACTACAACTACTCCTCCTCCTCCTCCTACTACTACTACTACCACTACTACTACTACTACTACTACTACTACTAATACTACTACTAATAATAATAATAACAATAATGGACCTATTAACTTACTATGAACTTTCATAATTATCTCAAATACATGGTTATTATCATATTATGTAATTCCTCTATTCATTCCATTATTTTAACATGTACATGTCATCATGTGTTCGTAAATAATTGACTTTTTTAAAAATGTCAATCATTAGATAATAAATGAATCTATTCATTACAGCATAGATTCTAATCTATTTGTAATCCAGGTTAGATTTATCACAGATTAATTTATGTGTAAAATGTTACTGGAATTCAGTGGTAGATGATGATGCCATTTTGTGAATTGATTGAAGTTAGACATTCACATCGTTGAATGTCACTCATCTCAGTGATCTAGTGGTTAAGTGTTCACACATGTGAGACTGATAGGTCCTAGGTTCAACATATCTCATGAGGTGAGATCGTGATTGTGTACTTATGAGGTGTCTCATACTAGAATGAAAAAGTCGTCCAATACATCTAGGTTTTTCATGGTGGTCTAGCTTTCATGGACTAATGAATTTAACTATTAAAAATAGAAGTACCAGATAGGTGTTTCATTCTTATAATAAGACTTTTTAGTAGTGTTTAATTCACAACTTTTTGCATAGAATCGAGCATACCTAATTCAGTGAAATGGTTTTTGTTCATTTTTAAATTAGAATCTGTTCGTTCTATAATGGATTTAGATATTTAAACAAACCGAAAATAAAAATGTTTCTTTTTCAATGATTTCATTTTTAAAATCTGTAATACTATCTTGTAAATTTGGATGAGACAAAAATAATAACGTGATAAATAAATTCAGTTGTATATCTGTTTCGTCGTAGTATGGGACTCTTCAACAGTGCGCATCCACGATTCCGCTCTCGGGATTCGAATCCAGGACCTATCAGTTTCACGCGCAAATGGTTAACCTCCAGACCATATAGTCGAAATCTAACAATGATAATGTTTAAATTCAATCAATACAAGAAATCTCACCACTGTTCACCATTGTCTTCAGCGAGTCACTCTTTCGTAACAGACATGGTTGAACTCCACTGATCATGGCTTCTCACTAGAACACCAGGAATTACATCTGATGCCAAAATGTTGTTATTTGTAAACAAGAAAGCTTGTTTAAGAACTTTCGTTTAAATTTGATTCATTTGTTTCACAGTAATTAGGCACCGACTTGATGTGAAATATTAAAGAGGAAGAATGTATTTGTAAAATCTCAGAGAATGAATTTGAAGTAAGTTGCTTGATAATCTGGCTCAAACTTTTTAAAAGAAGGTCATTTAACAAAAATCAGAATGATTGGTAATAAAGTGTCAAGCTGTAATCAGTGTACCAGTAAAACAATAAATCATGTAAACAAAATGCACAGTTGGCGAATTCCATCATGTTAATGGAGGTAACAATAAACTATGTGAATTGAGAAAGATTAATATGTAGATTAGGAACAATATAAACACAAAAGAAATTGGGTGAGGGATTAGAGGTTTATAATATCTGGTTTTGATGTTTGATGATCCAGTTATGAGCCATAGAGGCTGGATATACTTCTTTCAAACACTTAAGTTCGGTCTTCTGAAGTTGATGCAGATGACTTCAGCTATGTAGTAAAGTTGTAACCTAGTTCTTTTATGTAAATCATTTAAAACTTCTTACAAAACAGAGCAAGTTTCATCTATTTTATTATGATGTTCCCTATATATCAAATGTGAAATGATGACGCTGTTGATAGATTTCGTGACTCCTTCATCCAATCATCACGGTACATTTTGATATGCAAGTAAAGATAAAACCCTCTGAGTAAGGCCTACATAACTAGCTCCACAGGAATAATTAAATTCGTAAACACACATGAAAGAGCCCATCATCGGTAATCTACCCTTCATTTGTTGATTGAGAAGATTACATGTAACTTGAAGAAGTAAATTGTTTTTTCAACAGAGGTTTCGTTCATCAAAAACTGATCTCAGTGGGTGGGGGAAGGAGATATCATTAAAAGCCGTCGATCATGAAACAGGTGTATTATCCCTTATATTAAACTTCTTAACAGTGACCAACCACTACATAACTAGAGGTCGTGGTGAATGATTTATCACTAGAAATACTAAGTAGATAATAGAATGGCATAATTTCAATACACAGACTTAATTCTTTCCATTACTATTTAATATGATGAATTATGATTTTAATTTATTGGCTTATTGAACTTAATAAGTCATTAATTAATCGATTTGTTAGTTAGTTAGTTAAAAGTAGATAATCGAATTGAGCCACAGTTCAATCAATCATTAATAAAGTGACCCTAGGAATAAATACAGGTACCTATCTTTAAGTTCATGTATAAAATTTAGTTCATAAATATTTCTGATAATACTGTATTGGGTGGCTCTCGGAAAATTTAAGTTAAATTGTTAACCTACTTATAAGTAAGCAATATATTTCAATTAAAATAACTTAACGTTTAAAATGATTGATTCATTTTTAAATAGAATATACAGTTGATATTTAAAGTGCTAATTAATAGTATCAGTCTTTATAGACTTAGTGATTGGTTAAGCGTTCCAGATGTAGCTTATGTTTATAGATAAAACTGGATGATAAACTAATTATTCTACATTGATTGAAATGTCTCAAGTTCCTCGATTATATAGAGCATATGTGTGTACTTGCGCTGTTGAAAAGTTTCATAACAGGATAAAACAATATTAAAGTTCTTTGTGGTTTTTAGTGATTGTTTGGCTAAAGTAAATCCATGATGCAAATGACGGATTACTTCTCTGTTTGTCCTTTACTCACCTTGGATTTCAGTAACAGTTTATTTGGTCAGTAATTCTAAATTCTGAATGCAGTAAAATGAAGTTTCTTACAAACGCATAACAACTTAGCGTAATTCAAATTCATGTAGGCAAAATAATGAGGTTTTTAGAAAAAATCAATCTATTTTTATCTACTCAAAAAGATCTAAGCCATGTATACATGTATGAAGATAGAATGGATACGATGGAATCGAACAATACTGGTAACTATGTATCTTCTAACCAAAAGACCCAAATATACATAGGTGAAAAGAAGGTGACAATTGTTCTGGCTGATTGTATGCATACTTCAGAGAAGAAGGTACTGTAGTGAAAAAAAACACTGGTGTGGACAATCGAATGTATTTGAACACGAAATTACAGAACATCTCACTAAAACCTGAGAACCATACAGTGAATACTTAATTCGTAGAATGTCAATGATTTGTCTCCAACTTGACTGTTTCTTATGCAAATGTCAGTCCGTCGTGTCACATTTCATTGTTCGTACATTTTCATATCAATTGCTTTCCATTTCCGTTCTTTCTTTGTCGATCTTCTACTGAAATACATTTTATTCATGACTATCATTATATACTACTTATGTGAATATAAGTAGATCACACCACAATACTCCAAAACTAGGTGAAGCAATTCATATCATGTCGTAGAATAATCTAGTGATAAATTTTGATCGTCCAGACTATAATTTATGGACGAACCAATCAAGTATATAATATGAAGTCTAGGATTTTGACACGAAATTCATTCGGCTATTTCGGTAAATAAAATTTTAGGATTATGGTTGATGTTAGTTCATAAAGAAAACCCTTAAATCTAATTCCTAAACCTTCTATTTCCTCACACTGATTTATAACCTTCATTTGATCCTGGTTATTAGGTGGACACTCTCAATATCACTTGAGTGTCGCTCAGTGGTCATCCAAACATTATAGTCTCATCGTTTGATCGATGAGTTTCAATTAGTTGATACCGATTAAGCATAAGATCAATATCAGTATCTTATTACCTATAAAACTATTTCATTTGCATAGTAACATAAATATTTTTGTTTTACTATTTCAGTACATATTCAAAGTTCGTACAGATATATTAATTGGTGAATTAAGAAAACAAGCAATTGAAACATACAATTTAAAAGAATTAGATTTTATTAATTATGGTTTATATTTACCACCAGAAAGTGGTAAAAAAGGCAAATTTTTACAAGATGAAAGAACTATATCAGAATATCCACAATTAGTTGCTATGAAATTAAATCCTTATAATGATAATCAATTATTACATGAAATAGAATCAAATGGATTAATGAATGATAGAAAATCTAAAGAACCTGTTGTATTAGAGGTAATTTAATCAGTTTATATGTATATAGTTCGTATTAGAGTTTAAGATGTACGCTTTGTCTCTTTTGAAATCTGATATCCGGATATACTTACTTACTTACCTGCCTACCTACCTACCTACTTACTTACTTACTTACTTACTTACTTACTTACTTACTTACTTACTTACTTACTTACTTACTTACTTACTTACTTACTTACTTACTTACTTACTTACTTACTTACTTACTTACTTACTTACTTACTTACTTACTTACTTACTTACTTACTTACTTACTTACTTACTTACTTACTTACTTACTTACTTACTTACTTACTTACTTACTTACTTACTTACTTACTTACTTACTTACTTACTTACTTACTTACTTACTTACTTACTTACTTACTTACTTACTTACTTACTTACTTACTTACTTACTTACTTACTTACTTACTTACTTACTTACTTACTTACTTACTTACTTACTTACTTACTTACTTACTTACTTACTTACTTACTTACTTACTTACTTACTTACTTACTTACTTACTTACTTACTTACTTACTTACTTACTTACTTACTTACTTACTTACTTACTTACTTACTTACTTACTTACTTACTTACTTACTTACTTACTTACTTACTTACTTACTTACTTACTTACTTACTTACTTACTTACTTACTTACTTACTTACTTACTTACTTACTTACTTACTTACTTACTTACTTACTTACTTACTTACTTACTTACTTACTTACTTACTTACTTACTTACTTACTTACTTACTTACTTACTTACTTACTTACTTACTTACTTACTTACTTACTTACTTACTTACTTACTTACTTACTTACTTACTTACTTACTTACTTACTTACTTACTTACTTACTTACTTACTTACTTACTTACTTACTTACTTACTTACTTACTTACTTACTTACTTACTTACTTACTTACTTACTTACTTACTTACTTACTTACTTACTTACTTACTTACTTACTTACTTACTTACTTACTTACTTACTTACTTACTTACTTACTTACTTACTTACTTACTTACTTACTTACTTACTTACTTACTTACTTACTTACTTACTTACTTACTTACTTACTTACTTACTTACTTACTTACTTACTTACTTACTTACTTACTTACTTACTTACTTACTTACTTACTTACTTACTTACTTACTTACTTACTTACTTACTTACTTACTTACTTACTTACTTACTTACTTACTTACTTACTTACTTACTTACTTACTTACTTACTTACTTACTTACTTACTTACTTACTTACTTACTTACTTACTTACTTACTTACTTACTTACTTACTTACTTACTTACTTACTTACTTACTTACTTACTTACTTACTTACTTACTTACTTACTTACTTACCCGCCTACCTACCTACCTACCTACTTACTTACGTACTTACACTTGTTACTCCTCGTTGGCAAGAACAGGCCGCTCACCAGCATTTTCCATCCAACTCTGTCCTGGGCAATCCTTCCCAGTTGCTACTCATCCTTTTCATGTCTGCTTCTAATTCCCAACGCATTGTGTTCTTCAGCTTTCCTCTTTCCCATTTTCTTTCATGTTTCCAAGTTAGGGCTTGCCTTGTAATACAGTTTAATAGTTTTCGTAATGTATGTCCAATTCATTTTCATCGTCTTTTAATAATTTTTTTTTCATCTGGAAGTTGGTTTGTTCTCTCCCACAGTAGGCTGCTGCCGATGGTATCCCACCAATGGATGTTGAGTATCTTGCGAAGATAACTATTCATAAATACTTGTACCTTTTTGATGATGGTTGTAGTAGTTCACAAAGTTTCAGCTCCGTACAGGAGAACTGTCTTGACGTTGAAAATTCTGACTTTGATATTGGTTGACAGCTGTTTTTAGTTCCATATGTTCTTTAGTTGTGAGAATGCGACATTTGGTTTTTCAACCCTCGCCTTTACGTTTGCATCCGATCCTCCTACTTCATCGATGACGCTTCCCAGGTACTTAGTAGATTCCACATCTTCCAGAGCTTCTCCATTAAGTGTGATTGGGTTGGTGTTCTCTCCGTTGTATTTGAGGATCATTCTTTTTCCTTTGTATGTTGAGGCTTACGGATGCAGAAGCTTCTACTGCAATGGTTGTTTTCATCTGCTTTGTTCTTGTTTATGGGATAGGATGTCTGGATATACCAGCTTCTAAATATTAGCATTCACGTTGAAATTAGAAAATCAGTACATCAATAAAGATTAGATTCAGTCTTTAACATCTACAATGAAAATATACATGTGGTATTATAGTGTAAGAAGAGTTCATAGGAATAATCAATTTACTGTTCAATGTAAAACTACAGAGTGTTTTCCTAAAATATGAGAATCATACATTGAATACATTATATGCATATCTTCCTTCATTTATACTTTACATAACTCATGACTATTTCAATTTCATTGTTCTTACAATTACTCTATTCTTTCCTTCCTATTCTCTCTTCACTTCAATCTTCTTAATCATCTACTAAAAGGTATTTCACTTTCGATTGCTACTACATACTACTTATATCTATTAACATAAGTAACATACATCACATTATAAATAGATATGGTTAGCGTTTTTTTAGCGAGTTAGTTTTCTATGGGATAGGGTCGCTAACCCTATGCCCAATCCTTCTCCTTCATCCGGGTTTGGAACCGGCAGTAGCTCCAGAGGAGCTACAGACGGAGTTATAAATATATTTATTACTTATCTATTATTTATCATTAATTCACCATCTTCCTATTATCTTCCATTTATAAATATTCTACCATGTTAAAATCAATTGTATAATTTACTGTAATTATTCATTAAACCATACTTACAGCTAAACATTGAACTTATCGGTTAACAATGGATACTACTAGTTATATTAACAGTAGTATATATATATATATATTGAAAGTTGTCCTGTCTGATATCGATCGTTATGAGACTTCAGACTTCAGTTTTGATCGTTTAAAATTCATCAATATACTAACTACATAAGATTCAAAAACCACTTAATTACTTACTTACTTACGCCTGTTACTCCCAATAGAGGAGCATAGACCGTCGACCAACATTCTACAACCCACTCTCGTCTGGGCCTTCCTTTCTAGTTCTATTGATCGTTCATCTCATGTCTGTCTACATTTCTCAGCACAATGTGTTCTTTGATCTTGCTCTCCTCCTTTAGCATTGAGGATACCAAGTGATGGCTTGCCTTGTGATGCAGTTGGGTGCTTTTCTCAATGTGTGTCCTATTCACTTCCATCGCCTCTTCTTTAAAAATTAGCTTGACAAAAACTAAAACGACTCACCTTACAGATTAACTTGAAAAAGAACTCGAAGAAAAATATTGATGACAATATGTTTTCTGAGAATGTTGATATTCAATAGTTTCGTCATGTTTAATTTGTACAGATGCATGATGACTAGCAGTGGAATCTAGGATGTGTGTCTCGTTCCACTTTGAGACTTGTCAGCTGAATGTATCTTCATCACAAAGTTGATGTTCACTTCGAGACTCCAACCTCCAGTTATGTTTAATTTAATTTTTCCTAATTTTTTTTCGAATTATTTAATGATGAGTTAATGTGTATTTTGATATTCTTTTATGAATAGCTTCTACCAAAAATTCGTTTTGTTGAAGAATATCGTCTAGAAGGATCCAAATCAACAACTAAACGAATTCATTCAAAGGTAAATTCATTTATCATATATTTAATAAGTTATAATGAACGGATGACATTAGATTTGAACATGTTTTCATTCATCTACGTTAAATATTATAATGTGTTAAGCGTTCGTGCTCGAAACCGAAGGCTCTGGGTCTGACTCCCGAGATGAGGGATCATGGATGTGCACTGCTATGGAGGAGTCCCACAATAGAACAAAACGGCCGTCCAGTGCTTCCAGGTTTTCAGTGGTAGTCTTGCATTAATCGGTTCATGATCTCAATCAATAAATTTTATTATTTCAAATTATAGACTGATCTTGATTAGACCACCACTAGAAACCAGGAACTACTGAATAGATATTACTTCTTAGTATGGGATTTCAGTATAGTACTCATCCATGACCCTATCACAGAGGATCGAACTCAGGAAATTTGGTTTCGCGATTACTCATAACCCCTAAGTAACTGAGTTATCGTCCGGCTAACTTCAGGCAATTTAAACTAGGGAAGTTTATCAATAAAATCTCCTTCACTAATAACAATCTTGTACTCATTTGACACCAACTTCCAAATGCAGTTCTGAGAGTTTAAGTGTGAAATTGTAACTAGTAGAGCTCAGCCATGTTGGGTTTTAGACAGTTATCTACCTTGTGCAAGGAAAAGCTGTCATGCAATATCGCAAATTGATCACAGATAAACATACACAAAAATGTGTATCAACTTATCTCTCTAAAGATTACTGTATGATCTACATGTTCTGGGCTCGATGGGCACAGCTGAGGAGCTTCAGAATAGGATAGAACAGATATTCAGTACCTCCTTGTTTACAATGATGAACAACCAAATGAAATCGAAGTGTTTACATCACTGATTGACTGCTGTATAGTAAATTTATTGATCAGTCAATTATTCATTGATTTCCATCACTATCAACTGAGAGATTATTGATATTCATTTCATCATCAATAAGTAATGATTTCTTAGTTAGAACTTATTCTCTTGAATTTAATCTTGTGTATTGTCATCAATGTAGATATTAAAACTTAACAGTTTTCCAGTACTTCCAAATTATAATCAACCTGAAATATCCTTGAAAGTAAAATTTGTCTCAAAATGATCTATTACTCATGATTAATATAATTAGGTTAAGATAAGTTTAGGATATAAACATGAATTATAAGCAAAGATGGATAGTGTCTAGTAGTAAAATCCAGGACATGAACCAGTTCATCATATTTGGGACTTGTCAGCTGGATGTACTTGCATCTTAGAGTTGATGTTCACTCTGGGACTCGAACCCATTACAGTTCCCTTTAAACGTTATCAAGTTATCTACTTAGCTAATAAGTTTCGATAGCCACTTGTTTGTGCAACGGGATGAAGTTTATATACAGGAACATCCAGCTGACGAGTTCCAAATAAGACGAAACGCGTTTTTTGTATCCCAATATTAGCCATAATCCATCTTTGTCTGTAATGCTTGTGACTTCAGGCAATATCGAGGCAATCCTCACTGGATGCACACATGCTAATAAGAGACTGATCAATTGCAGTCCTAAACATCAATAGGGAGATCCAAGTAAAACAATACCAAGCGTATATAAAAATGAAAATTAATCGAAATACTTCACCGTACTATAAAACTGATTATTAAATAGTTGGCCCTGAATTCGGCCAGGGTAAAAGAAGCGGCTGAACATATTTCTTTTGGATGCAAATTTCAGGCTTTTGATCCAAATAGCAATTGCTTTAGCCGTCTTCAGGATTCTCAATTTGACGGAATTAAATAGACTGATGTTAACACAATATATCATTACGAAAAATTGCTTCATGTTGTCTGTATATCCCGTCTGAATTAAATGGACTAAAATGGAGCTGTTCTAACCTTTTTAACTACACCTAGGTTTAACCATACTGGGAGATGCTGATGAGCCGGAATATATAAATTGCTAGAACATCTAACAATGTAGCGTACTTTACAGCAGCAGTTGAATTGTTAGATATAAAAAAAGTGGCATAAAGCAATCTTTCCCAATCATATGTCGTGTTAACAGTAGTCTGCTTAATTCCGCTAAACTAAGAATCCTGCAGACGGCTGAAACAACTGGTATTCGGATCAAAAACCAGAGCTTTGCATCCAAAAGAAATTTGTTTGGCCGCTCCCTTTACCGTGGCCAACTTCAGAGCCAAATAGTTATTATTGAATTTTATACTCAGATAAAAGTTAAACTTAAATAATAAAAAATACTAATCTTGGGACATAATAAGCATTTGAAAAACCAGTTATATCCTTAATTGATTGGATTTAATAATACTGAAGAGTTTATAGTGTTCAGTTATTTGTTTAATGGCATACAAACCTTCAAATATTCACCTATCTATCTATCTATCTATCTATCTATCTATCTATCTATCTATCTATCTATCTATCTATCTATCTATCTATCTATCTATCTATCTATCTATCTATCTATCTATCTATCTATCTATCTATCTATCTATCTATCTATCTATCTATCTATCTATCTATCTATCTATCTATCTATCTATCTATCTATCTATCTATCTATCTATCTATCTATCTATCTATCTATCTATCTATCTATCTATCTATCTATCTATCTATCTATCTATCTATCTATCTATCTATCTATCTATCTATCTATCTATCTATCTATCTATCTATCTATCTATCTATCTATCTATCTATCTATCTATCTATCTATCTATCTATCTATCTATCTATCTATCTATCTATCTATCTATCTATCTATCTATCTATCTATCTATCTATCTATCTATCTATCTATCTATCTATCTATCTATCTATCTATCTATCTATCTATCTATCTATCTATCTATCTATCTATCTATCTATCTATCTATCTATCTATCTATCTATCTATCTATCTATCTATCTATCTATCTATCTATCTATCTATCTATCTCTTGTTTTATTTTTTGTTAAAGCATCATCAAAAACGCTTATTATCTGCTATAAAACGTAATGATATTGGACGTGTTACAGATTTATTAGAACAAGGTTTAGATCCAAATTTTCAATATCCATCTAGTGGAGGTAATCTATTCTTTTATCAATAATATATTTCATTTATTTTACATATATATGTGAGTTTAAATGTTCAACATTACCATGTTTTTGTTTTTTTTCTTCATATCTGGAACCTGATTCATTGAATGTACATAAATCTAAATGGTGTTATGTATCATGAACATTCAACGTTCCATAGAATGTTTTCAATGCAAAATCTTGGATAAGCTTGTATATGTGAAAGAGATTTAGTTTATTGGTCTAGTTTTAAATGTCAACAACAACAATAACAACAAAAGAAAATGATGAAACCAATGAAATGGCAAATCATTTCCATTTACTTACTACTACTAATAATAGATCATATTCAGTAGACTCTTAATAATTTAAATTCCTATGTGATGATATATCTCTTAAGAGTGTTTTGGCAAGACTATAATTTATGGACGAACCAATTCGATATAAGATAACGAGACACGAATTTGAGCGCAGAATTCACATATACATTTGACTAAATAGAGTTTTGACATTATAGCTGATGAAAAACCTAAATCTAATTTTTAACCCTCACAATCAATTGTAAATGGGAATTCTAACTGCTTTATCACCTTCATTTAGTCCTAAATTAGTAGTGGATATACACTGCTGATGAGTTCCATACTGGGACGAAACGACCGTCCACTGCTTCTAGGTTTTCCATAATGGTCTAGCTTCGATTGACTCATGATTTCAATCTGTTAAAATTTCTAAAATCTCCACAAAACCCCTTTTATTAATTAGTAATTGTTCACTCTCAAGATCACTTCAGCATCGCTCAAGAGATCGTCCATAAATGATAGTCTCACCAGTGTTTTATTTGATGTCTTATTTGTATAATATCATAAAGATTTCCTTTTTTTTAGTGTTAAGTGTTTATACTACTGAAATACCATGTTTTTTTAGTTTTGCATAAATGAATTGAAGCAATAGGACTATTCATTTCTATTCATTACTCAATGGTAATTATTTGATGTTGAATGAATTGACTTATAAAGTCAAATAGATTTAATGTTCAGTTATCATCTTCAAAGTTTTCAATGTTAAATAAACATGTTACACCCCGAAAATGTTCCATCACATTTTCCATTCATTTATTGAATGAGTGTTAGTAATTATTCAGGATCCAGAATTTCAAAGCATTTTTTTCGTTCATTGATTGGATGTAATTTTTACTGGATATTTCAACTATCTAAAGATCTCTATTACATCCTGATGAGAATAATGAGTGGTAACTGTTGAAAAACGGGTAATATAACCTCTGTCGTATTGTGGTGCATACTACTTATATTGATATAAGTAGTATATGACGCGTGTCAGGAATGTAATGTCTGGCAGGAGTAGATGAGAGAAGATCAAGAAAGGATAAGCGGGAATAGAAAGCAATTCGTATGAAAATACAAGAACAATGAAGTTCGAGACAATTATTGAACATTTCGCAAATCAATTATTGTAGTATAGTTTTTCTATTTTACCAAGTAACTCTGTAATGTTGTGCTAAGTATAATTTGGTTGTTTTTGGTGGAGTTTTGTTCTCTGAGCTGGATGTTTTGGTCGTGGAGCTTTCATCGTTCTTCTGAACGACATCATCAGCACAAACTTCAGATAGAAGTGAAGTGTTTGAATTTCTCCATATGTGTCTCAAAGCTTGTTCTGTGCACCTCGACGTTGATTGGTTCTCATTTACCTTAAATTTGTCGTTGTTTACTTCTTTGTTTTGGTTGTGTCTCCCATTGTTTTGATTTTTGTTCTTATGTTTGTGCATGATTTTTCTGATTGGCTGATAAATTGGATTGATTTCAATATGCTTGTTGATTGCTGATTGACCTGAGTGCCAGGCTTCTAAAAATCATGCACAAACATAAGAACAAAAGTCAAAACAATGGGAGACAAAACCAAAACAAAGAAGTAAACAACGACAAATTTAAGGTAAATGAGAACCAATCAACGTCGAGGTGCATAGAACAAGCTTTGAGACACATATGGAGAAATTCAAACACTTCACTTCTATCTGAAGTTTGTGCTGATGATGTCGTTCAGAAGAACGATGAAAGCTCCACGACCAAACCATACAGCTCAGAGAACAAAACTCCACCAAAATCATCCACCTGAGCTACAAATCTTCTCCAACATCTCATAATTCGTTTGTCTTCATCCGTGTTCTCCATCACTACAGTATGACTTCTACTAACAGTTACATTTCAAGCATTTAGAATTATCATTCGTGTTTTATTGTGAATAGCAGTTCGAAATCTCAGATGAATTCTTCTATGAAAATTCACACTATTCTATGTAACAATCACTTAGTAAATGAACAGAAAAGTGGTTCATACAATGGAAGCTGAGGTTGTATTCCAGACTCAAAGCAATAAGAACCAATAAGGACTCAGAGTTGACACAGTCAGTCAGTCAGTCAGTAACAACGTAGAACTTCGTACGTACGTACATCAGTTCGAGTTGCCACACCACATTAGCACAGAGATGCATTTGTCGATCCAAATCCCGTAGTGGTAGAGGTAATAAGAGTATAAGCAGTAATCGGGAAGATTAGGGTTTGGAGATGTTATTTAAAGAGTATAATCCAGTGAAATAAATTTGGGAAGAGAAAAAGAAAAGGGTCATGAAGAATTCAGATGATTAGAATTTGGGAGAACACAAAGAGTAGATGCATTTGCGCGATTGCAAAAGAATTTGAGGCAAGTCATTCAGGGTCTCTAACCATCGGTTGCTATCATCTTGCGGTCTCCAACCAGGTAGTCTACACCTACCAACATGACTCAGTCCACTTGTCAGTGACTTCATGGACTTGTGCCATGTTTTGGTTTGGCCGCCCCTAGCTTTCTTCCAACCTACTCCGATACCACTGAACATAGCACGTCGAGGCAGTCGGTCGTTGGGCATACGTAACACGTCCCAGCCATCTCAACTGATGAAGTTTCACTACTTCATCAATTGATTTGCCATTTTTACCTAGTACCCGTTTCCTAACAACTGTGTTACTTACTCGATGGTCCCAGAATATACGAGCAATGTTTGGAAGACACCTATGATCAAATACTAGTAACCTACGAATATCCTCTACTCTTACCGGCCATGTTTCACTGCCATAAAGTAGGACGGAACGAACTGCTGCGCAGTAAACACGTCCTTTGGTTGATAGACGGATATCTCGCCTACGCCATAAATGACGCAAGTTGGCAAAAGCTAGTCGAGCCTTCTGTATCCGTGCTGAGATTTCGTCACACACTAAACCACAAGGGCTGATGAGACTTCCAAGATAAGTGAAGCGGTCAACACACTCAACTACTTCACTCCCTATCACTAGTTCGGGTGTCAATGTAACCCAATCCTGAAGCAACATTTTGCATTTCGAGGGAGAGAATCGCATCCCGAACATGCTTGCATTGTTGCTTAGAGTGGTCAGAAGACTCTGCATTTTGTCAGCGTCTTCACCAAATAAAACTAAGTCATCAGCATATTCTAAGTCAACAAGTGAACCTCCCGGTAGAAGTTCAACCCTTGGAAATTTAGATGAGGAGAGTGTTATCTCTAAAAGTACGTCGACCACAAAGTTGAACAAGAATGGGGAGAGTGGACAGCCCTGATGAGTTGACACAATATTGCTTATGTTGATTAACACGTCATTGGGTTTTACTCAGTGCCAAGATCGAATAAGTTGGTATTCTGATTGACGATTTATTCAAATGGTAATTAACAGGGCAATAATTAGAATACACTGTATTGTTCACATACCATTTATATAATTAAGGGTGAGTGTGTGTGTGTGTGAGTAACTTTCATCAAACTATAATTATTCTTATAAATAAATATAATTTCATTTGTTATGTTCAGTAATCCCATTAGGTTGTGCAGCAGAATTAACTGATCCACGTGAAATGATATTACAACTTGTTAATGCTGGAGCACATTTAGATTATCGTGATTCCGATACAATGACTGCATTACATAGAGCTGCAATCAATGGAAATTTAAAAGCTATTGAGGTAAATTGTAATGATTGTCATTAATTTGGTTTCTTTTTTCTAAATAAACATTAAATATGATCAATTAACATGGTAATGAATGAGAACATAAATGTGGGGAACAAAATTACATAACATCTTAGGAGAATCTGAGAATCATACAGTGAACAATTCATTTGTAAAATATCAATGAATCATCTCCGACTTGATTGTTCCTACATTTCCATACCAATCAATGTGTGTTTTCGTTTTCTTCTCTTCAATCATTTTAACCTTTTGCCACCAGACATTTCACTTTTGGTTGATGATACATTACTTACTTACGTTTGTTACTCCCAATAGAGGAGCATAGACTGCTGATCAATATTCTACAATCCACTCTCTACTGGACCTTCCTTTATAGTTCTATCCCATTGTTCTTCATTCTTCGTCATATGTCACTCTCCATTTCTCGGCGTAATGTGTTCTTTCGTTTTCATCTTCTCCTTTGTCATTGAGGATTCCATGTGAGGGCTTGTCTTGTGACATAGTTAGGTGTTTTCCACAATGTGTATCCAATCCACTTCCATTTCCTCTTCTTCATTTCTTCTTCTACTGCAATGTGGTTTGTTCTCTCCCACAGTAGGTTATTGCTGACAGTGTCTGACCAACGGATATGAAGTATTTTGCGTAGACAACTGTTAATCAACACTTGTCTCTTCTGAATGATGGGTTTTCGTAGTTGTTCAAGTTTCTGCTCCATACAATAGAACTGTCTTGATATTTGTATTGAAAATTCTGACGTTTTCATAATCCAGTCGGTCAACAAGAGGAAGAGAAAGGATAAAAGTAAGCAACCTTGCCTGACATCGGTCTTTTCTTCGAACAAGTATGTCAACTGTCCTCCATGCACGATTTTGCAGTTTAATTCATCATAGGAATTCCGTATGATATTAACTATCTTCTCAGGCACGCTGTAGTGTAGAAGAAGCTTCCATAGAGTTGTCCTGTCCATGCTGTCGAATGCTTTCTCGTAGTCAATGAAGTTGATGTAGAGTGATGAATTCCATTAAATTGATTGTTCCACAATGATCCGTAGTGTTGCGATTCGGTCTGTACTCGACAGATCCTTACAGAATCCAGCCTGTTGATCTTGAAGTTGAGTGTCTACGGAGTCTTTTATTTTCTTTAACAGTACCTTGTTGAAGGCTTTTCCTGGTATTGAGAGAAGAGTGATGCCTATGTAGTTCTCACATTTGCTAAGATCGCCTTTTTTTGACACGTTGATCAGGTGTCCTTCTTTCCAGTCTGTTGGTATTTGTTTTTCATCTCAAATCTTACTGAAGAGAATGTGGAGTATCTTTGCTACGTCTGCTTTCAGTGCTTCTGCTGGAATGTTGTCTGGTCCTGCTGCTTTGGTGCTCTTGATTTATATTGATGGTACATATTACCTATATTTGTTAAATTCAGTAGCACACACCACATTTCTGGCTCATTGAAGACAATGGTGGACGGAGATGCAACTTTGTGGATTGGTTCAGGTTAGACATTAACATTGTTGGATGCCGGCCGGCTCAGTAGTCTAGAGGTTAGGCATGCTCACACGAGACTGACAGGTACTGGGTTTGAATCTGGTGAGGCGGGATCGTGGATGTGCACTGCTTAAGAATCCCATACTAAACAGCCGTTCAGTGCTTCCAGGTTTTCCATGATGGTCTATCTTCAATCGACTCATGAATTCAACTATTAAATTCAATTTTATTCCAGGTTAGGTTTTTTCTTTTGTAAATGATTTCCATTTCCAGCTGTTATCAACTGGAGAATCTTTGTGAAATGTAAGAATACATTGGAAAACTATTTCACTCATGGTATGAAACTTCTGTTTAAAGCGTTTGGTTGACACTTATTATTATTATTATTTTCTTACAAGATAATTGATAAATGTTTTTCGGTTTAATTTTAACACAATTTGATTATACTACTGAAAAGTGTTATATTCCGATGGGAATAATGAATGGTAATTGTTGTAGTCTATTTTTGGACTAATAATATACATGTTTCTTTATGGTAGCTAAACTATGCATATACGTGTTTCTCTTATTATAAGCTTTATTTTGATCTATGAGCTGTTATTATACGACTTACCATTGTTGAGTCATACTCAGTCTATCAATTACTATCACCCATATTCACGACCACTTTTGGCTAGAACTTGTACAAATGTTGTTCCCTACTATATGGTGTGATGTGGTCTCTTTGGTTGGTATATTAACCCAGTATGTTTGAAATATAATGATTCATATCTCAAAGGTTGAATTTGGTATTCTGCACTCTAACAGGCAGGCATAGCTAGGCAGGAAGAAGGACCGATAATGACTCTAGACTGCTAGCACTGGTTTTACATATTATTGGTCCGGTTGATAAATCACAGGTCTCTAATTGAAGGTATCATCATATGATATACTGTGATAGGGTCACAAAGCCCACAAGTGATAACAAGAACAAATAGTTTGATACTTCAACTAATCAAAAAAAGTTTGTTTTTTTCCTTATTCTTTCATAATTAAGGTATTTTTAGAATTGGGACAAAATCCTAATGTACGTGATAAAAATGATTTAACACCATTATATTATGCTTGTTCAGAAGATATTCAACCAGAATGTATACAGCGTTTATTATTTGATCATGCTATACTTGGTGTAACCGATGATAAAGGTAGACAAGAAATTCATCAAGTAAGTTCATTATTATATGAATTTGAAAGATTCAGATTATATTTTGTTGTTCTTTTAATGTTAAACGATACAATTGGTTAAGTTTACTTCATTTCAGATTGTGATGGAATTTAGGAAGTATATTGAGATTAGATGGTGGTTGGAGGTAGTCAACAGGAAACCCTGGACCCGGGTTTCGTGCTACTTGGCACTCGTCAGCAAGGTGTACCTGTAATCTCGAGGGAACTGGTGCTCCCTGGCGGATTCGATCTCGTGTCACCCAGCTTCACATTCAGAGACGTTACCACTGAGCTATCCGATTGATTTGAAATTCGCCAGTTGAATGTAACTGGATCAGTATTGAAACTTGAAACCTATATGTATTGCTTTGAACATCACTAAGTTTATACTTAACATGTCAATAATCGTTGAGCAAATAAGTCTAGCTCCTAAATGCTCTGGTACAACCGAGAGTGAGAAGAATCAGCTCTCCTTCTCGAATTGCTTTCACATGGCCACGTGAATACAACCACTGACAGGAAAGTTCTACTCACTGCCTCCTAGAGGCAGGAGTGTTCTTTACGAAATTGAGAGGGCGAAAAGTGAATGTCTGGAGATTTAACTAAGTTGATGGATATGGAGGTTCTACTTAGGGGATTTGGAAAACCCTGATTCCAAACCAATGGTGCACATGGGCTCCAGGATCCTGAGGGGACGAATGGCGTATGAACCAAATGTCGGTGACCGGTTACCATGGGACTGTATCTCCTGACTTTTGTCCATTACCATGTGGATCAGACCTTTAGATCAAAGGCTGAAGGTGTGCCCCCTAAGAAAACCACCTGCTTCGGTTTGAGCACCCGGACAGTATCACAGCCCTCAAACATATCAAATGAGATTTATGTGGTGCATATGTATTTGGTGCCTCCTTGTACCAATATCTATGTGTTAAAATAAATAAATATAACCCATTAACTTTTATTCTTTTGTTTGTTTTACTTTACAAGGCTTGTTTAAATGGTCGTAGTAAAACATTAAAACAATTAATCATTTATGGAGCTGATTTAAATGCACAAGTTGAAAATCATAATACACCATTACATTTATGTGTATTAGCTGATGAAATGGATTGTTTAAATTTATTATTACGTTATGGTGCATCACCAACATTAGTTAATTTATCTGGACAAACTCCATATGAATTAGCTATACTTATTGAACGGATGAATTTAGCAAATATTTTGCAGAATTTTGATGAACATTTAGTTGGTAAGTAGTTTATAATTAAGTAATACTATTGAAATGTATTAATTTTATGCAAATTCTAGGTACATCTTGTTGATAAGGCAAACTTCAAAGCACCGGCTCAATGGTCTAGAGGTTAAGCGTTCACGTGTGAGACCATTACGTTCTGGGTTCGACATCTCGCTAAGCAAGATTATTGAGATGCGCATCGTTCGGGAGTCCTAAAATAGGATGAAACGGTTGTCCAGTGCTTCGAGGTTTTCTATGATTGTCTAGTTTTAATTGACTCATGTTCTCAACTATTAAAATTACTAGAATATCCACAAAACCTCTATTGATACTAAAATATATTCAGCTTCACAATACAAAAATGAAATCAAAATTTGTACGAAGTAAGCATAATAAGATTCCTGCAGAATAAAATGATCTAATCAATATATTTTACAAGAATCTTATAGGGTGACTATGTGGTGTATGTGTGTGCTACTTATATCGATATAAGTAGTATATAGCGCTAGATCGGGATAGAATAACTGGCAGTGGTAATTTTAGATGATCGAGGAGTAAAGAATGTGTGACGACGGACCACAGGTGAACTCGAGGAAGCTGTAGGAGGCTCCGAAGGAGCCGAAGATATTCCACCCAATCACCTTTTGGAAGAATATTCTAGAATTCCTACATATAGCTTCCCAAATGGATAATACTAATAACCCCCTGTATGCGGATTATTACTATTCATAACTATTAATGGTCACATCAACAGTCGATGTAAGTATAATGCAAATAACTTCATTAATAAATGTCAGTGAATTGGTAAATGATTATATTGCGTAATTAGTGAACATCAACTCTGAGATACAGGTATATTCAGCTGACGAGTTCCAAATAAGAGGACGTGGTGCACGTCCTGGATTCCACTACTAGCCACTATCCATCTTTGATTCTATAAAGCTTGTGACTTCAGGCAATATCGAGGCTATACTCACAATATACACATATACCAATAAATGATTGATCAATTGTAGTCCTAAATAACAATGGGAAGATACAAGTAAACAACACCAAGTGAAGTGAAATTGTTTGCTTATAATAAACTCTATTATATCAGAAAAGAAGTTTATCATGCTTTTATCTCATACACATAAATCATCTTAGAAGGACTCATTATTAATGGCTTCTGTTGAGCTGATTAAATGTGGTATTTATTAGTAATTAAGTATTTTTAATGAATCAAGGTTTCCTACTTCAGGTTCACTCTTCAGTGAGTGTTCAACGATTACATCTATAAAGAGTATGCTTCCATTCAGACTACAGATTCTGAAGTATGTACTTAGAAAACTAAATATGTATTCTCTCCTAAATACACTTGTACGACCAATGGTGAGGAGAGTGATCTCCCTCTCTCTCGAAATGCTTTCACATGGACTCAAGTATACTGCCACTGCCAACGAAGTCCTATTCACTGCCTTCTTGCGGTGAGGATGTTGTTTACAAAATTAAGTGAATGACAAGCAAATATCTGATTCTCTAACACAGTTAGTGGATATGAAGGACTCACGTAAGGAAATTGAAAAAACCTTGATTCCAAACTAGTGGTGAACAAGGACTTCATGATCCTGAGTGAATAAATGGTATAATTTCAGAACGACCTAAAATGTTATATACAAAAATCTAACAACTCTAGATATTCCATACCATGAAATCATATGGATGAGAATTTTCATAAAGCATTATTTGCTTTTAAACAAAGAAAAACTGTCATACAAGACAATACATTCACTTAGTATTCTTAAATAATTCTCCGAATACAAGTAGTTGAATGTCATATCTAACATGGAAGATACATATATATCTATATGTTAATTCTCTTTGGTAAATATTCAGTTCTTTATCATTTCACGGATGATCAATTGATTTGATGTTAGAGTCCGTTAGTAACTTGTTTGCTTGTTTCCTATCTCATCAACAACTTTCAAATTTTTTTAGTGACATAGTAACTATGAAACAAAAATCACAAAATTGAAATTGTTACATAATAAAATACATAAATAATAGTTTTAATAGTTGAGATCATGAGTCAATTGAAGCTAGACCATTATGGAAAATCTCGTGAGGCAGGATCATGGATGAGCACTATTGACGAGTCCCACAATAGGATGAGATAGTAACTCACTGAAAACAATAGTGGATGTATCGCTCGATTTCGTGGATTCATTGAAGTTAGACATTAACACCATTGGATACCGACCGAGCCATTAGTCTAGAGGTTAAGCGTTGGTTCAAGTCTCGTGGGGCGCGATCTTAGGAGGAGGAGGAGTCCTACTGTATGATCAAACAGCCGTCCAGTACTTTTAGGTTTTCCATGATGGTCTAGCTTCAATCGACCCATGATCTCAACCATTGAAATTACTATAATATCCACAAAAACCCCTTCTGATACACAAGTAATAATTCACTATAGAATAGTTTTGGAAATTTCATTCTCTTTCTCTATTCGATTCAATCTAACGTATAAAAACGATATTCAGATGTCCTATTCCTATTTATTATCGTTTCTATTTTCAATTTCTTTCTGTTTTTTTTTAAAAAACCTGATTTGTCTATTTACCTAGAGGGAATTGATCAAAAACCTGTATACAATAAAGATAGACGACCGACAATTCATGGACCAAGAGCAGTGTATGACAGTGTTCACTTACTTCAATATAATCATAATAGTAACCATAGTAACAGTAATAATAATAACAATAATAATAATAATGGTAACACAATAAGTACACGTAAACTAAGTAAACCAATGTCAATAGACAGAGAATTACCTCCAACTCCTTATCAAAGATGTTTATCATTTGACATGAATGATTTAAGACAACTTACACCAAAACGAATTAATCAATATGTATTTCATAATAATAAAATTGAATCGGGAACACCAGATATAGTTAGACGTAATAATCTTGATAAAAAGGAAGCTACTATTAATAATAACAGACCATTATTACCTATTCGACGACAAATGACATATAGTAATGATAATGATCATTGTGGAGGAACGATTTATAATGATAATAATTCACAAGGTAAGTAGTATAATGTATAAAATTACACTTTTAGTAATGAGATTTACGTATGATGATTCGTATCAGACATAAATATAACCGATAGTTAGCCTTAAATCTATTGTAAACAATCTTTATTTCCATCGAGATCTTTGGAACATAAAACTTAATAGCCCTAAGTTCTTTCTCTGTTAGTGCAAAGTAGTTCATGGAGGACAGATGACAGATGCATTCCAAGTAAGGACCACAGTCAGAAAAGGCTGTCTACTTTCCTCCTTCCTCTTTCTTCTGGTGATCGACATGATTATGAATACCTTGACATCTGAGGGAAAATATGGAATACAATGGACGGCTCAGAACCAATTAGACGATTTGGACTTTGCAGACGACCTAGCCCTCCTATCCCATACATAAGAACAAATGCAGAAAAAGACAGCCAGTGTAGCAGCAGTCTCTGTATCAGTAGGCCTCAACATACACAAGGGGAAAACCAAGATCCTCAAATACAAAAACGAGAACACTAACCCAATCACACTTAATGGCGAAAGTCTAAAAGATGTGGAATCTTTCACGTACTCGGGAAGCATCATCAATGAACAAGGAGGATCGGATGCAGACCTAAAGGCGACGATTGACAAAGCAAGGATCGCATTCGTATAATTGAAGAACATATGGAACTCAAAACTGTCTCTTAACCAATATCAAAGCGATAATCTTCAATACGAACGTCAAGACAGTTTTACTGTACGGAGCTGAAACTTGGGGAACTACTACAATCATCATCAAGAACTTACAAGTATTTACAAATAGCTGTCTGCTTAAGATACTCAACATCCATTGACCGGATACCATCAGCAACAGCCTTTTGTGGAAGAGAACAAACCAGATTCCAGCTGAAGAGGAAATTAGGAAAAGAAGATGGAAATGTATAGGACATACATTAGGCAAATCATCAAACTGCATCACGAGGCATGCCGTAACTTGGAATCGTGAAGGTAAGCGGAAAAGACGAAGGTCAAGGGACACATTACGTCGGGAAATAGAATCAGATATGAAAAGGATGAATCACAAGTGGAAATAACTGGAAAGGATTGTCCAGGACAGGGTTGGATGGAGAATGCTGGTGGGCGGCCTATGCTCCTTCATGAAGAGTAAAAGGCGTAAGTAAGTAAGTCTATCTCTGTTAGGGTTGTGTAGGAGATCTTATTACTAAAATGAGGCGGCTGTTCAACGATTCCAGGTGTCCAATGTTTCACCGCTTAATATCCAACCATTACAGAAACCGATTAATAAATCTTATTTCATTCATCCTATTTTGAAGGACTTCTCAGCAGTGAGTACCCACGAAGTTTGAAGTTAGACGTTAACACCAGTGAATGTCAGCTCAGTAGTCTAGAGATTAAGCGTTTGTCCGCGAGTCCAGTAGGTCCTGACTTCGATTCTGGCGAGGCAGGATCGTGGTTCTTCCAGGTTTTCCATGGTGGTACAGTTTCAATTGTTCCACGATCTTAACTATTGAAAACTTTGATAAACTTAACAATTATATATTTTTGGTAGAATACACTGTCTTCTTACAAAATCTTTACATAATATTTTCACATTCGGTGACCACATTGTTACTATCAAGATTTATAAATGAAATTCATCTATGATATATGGATATGGTTGATTCGACAGTTACTATACCATTGTAACGAATGTTTATAAAAACCATTTCACTTATTAACATGAGTTGGATTGGTCCGTTTCTGTCTGTATAAGAAAAGTCCTGAATATGTATATAGATGGTCAAAATTAACAAATTACCTTAAAGCTTCGAAGTAAAGACCGGTGTCAGGTAAGGTTGCTTACTCTCACCCTTTCTCTTACTCCTCGTGATCGATTGCATTATGAAGAGGTCAACATCTCGGGGAAAGCATGGAATACGGTGGGCAGCTAAGATGCAGTTGGATGATCTAAACTTCGCAGATGATATGGCTCTTCTATCGCACACGCAACAAAAACACCCAGCTGTGTCACAAGACAAGCCCTCACATGGAATCCTCAATTACAAAGCGAAAGAGGAAGACGAAAGAACACATTACAGAGAGAAACGGAGAGTGACATAGGAAGAAGAATGAAGAACATTTGAATAGAAATATAAAAGGAGGTCCAGTAGGGAGTGCGTTGTAGAATGTTGATCGGCAGTCTATGCTCCTCTACTGGGAGTAATAGGCATAAGTAATTAAGTCAGTTCCTCACTATCTTGAAACAATTAATGTTGAATATGAATTTATTAGATAACAACTTAAAGTGTTAGTTTGTAATTATCATACAATATGAGAGTAGGAAGACTCTGAATTCGATCTTTGATTTATATCATAGGAACATTGTTAATTAGTGTCTTAGACTAGAATGAAAAATGAGTTTTTTAATTGACACAATCAAAATTATGATGATTATTATTAATATCAGAAGGGGTTTGTGGAGATTTTAGAAATTTTCACAAATTGAAATCATGAGTCAGTTGAAGCTAGACCACCGTTGAAAACCTGGAAGCGCTGGACGGCCGTTTCGTCCTAGTATGGGACTCCTCAGCAGTGCGCATCCACGATCCTGCACCCCGTACCTTCGTGGATTAGTTAAAGTTAGACCTTAACACCTTTGGACGTCAGCTCAGTGGTCTAATGGCTAAGTGCTCGCGCGCGAAACCAGTAGGTCCTGGGTTCGGATCTCGCTGGGTGAGGGATCGTGGATGCGCACTGCTGAAGAGTCCCGTGCTAGGACGAAACGGCCGTCCAGTGCTTCCAGGTTTTCAATGGTGGTCTAGCTTCAACTGACTCATGATTTCAATCTGTGAAGATTATTATTAATATCAAGGTGAATCTGAATAATTTTCTTTTTCTTTTTATTGATTTATTGTAGATATTCTCAAATTTCCTCGACGATTAAATTTCCTAAGGTAGTATTCTACTACTATTATTGTTACTACAAGTAGTAGTATTATGATTTTTTTCATCATTCATATACCCGAGTTCCCAAGTTTGGGGAAATTTTGAGGAAACTCCCGAAGTCAAATGACCTTCAGCAACGTTTGGGGAAATTTCGGGAAAATCTCCAAAATTAAATGAATTTCGGAGAGATATTGGGGAATTTCCCCAGGTCTGCGGAAATTTCGGGGTTTTAGTGCCGTTTCCCCAAAGTTTACTATAGCGGCTTCCCCGAAATTGAGAGCTCGGGTATATATTAATATATATTTAAAATGCTTCATTGAATAAGAAAATGAACTCTTGAGATGGTGGAGAAGATTTGTAGATCAGGTGGATGATTTTGATGGAGTTTTGTTGTGTGAGTTGGATGGCTAGATCATTGAGCTTTCATCGTTCTTTTGAACAAGATCATCAGCACAACTTTCAAGTAGAAATGAAGTTTTCCTGAAGTTTTTACTGATGATGTTGTTCAGAAGAACGATGAAAGCTCCATGACCAAACTATCCAGCTCAGAGAACAAAACATCATCAAAAATGAACTCTTATTTGTATATGGTGACTGTAGGGAATAATAACTTCTGAAGATTAGTTGTTTGTTGGAACTAGTGATTGATTATAAACTAGCACTTCTCAAGTTTTGTCATAATCGGACATTCATTGGAATTTATATATTTAAATAGTTGTAAGCAAAGATAGATAGTAACTAGCAGTAGAATCCACTAAGTTCTATTTAGGACTCGTCAGCTGGATGTACCTGCATCTTAGATTTGACGTTCACTCCGGGACTCGAATATAGTACCGTTCGCTTCAAACGCCATCTCATTATCCATTATTTCATTGCCCTTGTAATGTTAAATATACTAGAACTTTTCAGTTCATTTCTCATGCTAATAATGTCAAGATTGAAACAGTCAATGATATCAATGACAATAAATAAGAATTTTGTTGTTTCATGAATTGATTGGAGTAACTGTCAGACAGTTACAACTTAGGACCAGGCACATATGCCCATCGGTCCAAGTTGCCATACCACATTACCACAACAAGATGAACACAAAATTCATTGAAGTAGTTAATTCAATTGCAATAATATATTAAAGAAAGATTGCATATGAGGATATAGTACAGGAAGTAAAAATTAGCTCGTAGCAAGAAAGATATGAAGTGATTTCAATCTCATAGTTTAAAGGAAGACAGAGAGTCTATACACCTACGCTGTTGTGATCGACTCTCAGCCATGTCACCCACAGTCTCCAACCACTGATTACGATAGTGACGCGGACCCCAACCAAGTAGTGTGCATCTACGAACATGGCTCAGACTAGAAGTAAGTGACTTCAAACACTGATGCCACGTTTTGGTTTGACCGCCTCTAACTTTCATCCAACCATCTCCAACACTAGTTAGCATTACGCATCGTAGTAATCAGTGTTCAGGCATACGTGACACGTGTCCCAAACATCTCAGTCGATGAAGATTCACAACCTCATCAACTGATTTACCATCATTCCCTAATACCCAACATCTAACTTCACTATTACTTATCCGGTGATCCCAATAGATGCAAGCAATATTTCGAAAACATTTGTGATCAAATACTAGTAGCTTACAAGTATCTTCTACTCTTAATGGACAAGTTTCTCAGCCGTAAAGTAGAGCAGAACAAACTGCTGCGTAATATACTCATCCCTTAATTGATAAACGGATATCTCGCTTTCTCTATAGGTGACGTAATTTGACAATAGCAAAACGAACTTTCTGAATCCATGCTGATTGAATTAATATAACCAAATTGATGAACAAATACAAACTTTATTAGTTCGGATCCATCGTTACTAACAGTGTGATGTAATTGATCCACTAAAAAATTCAAGACCATGTTAAATTACTTTAACTGATATTATTAGTAAACAATAAGAATATTTACTCAAGCGTAATGATGAATATCAACCATTCCCTGTTTATTTACTAAAACATTTACAAGTTCCGTAGATACAAGGCAAGAATTCATCACAATACACTATGAATTCTTCACTCTAATCAATCAGATAGTATGAAATATAGTTCATTAGTTCATTGTTTTAATTGTTTCCCAATTTGTATCGCTTTAGACAACGTTATCCAAACTATCGTATACGTTCAATCATTTTGGAACGTGGAATAACTGGTTACGGTTTTATTATGCAAGGATCAGATAGTAAGTAAACAATGTTTGTTTGTTTGTTTGTTTCTTTTTAATTTCATATTAACAATCTTTTGAAAGTATGGGCAAGACTATAATATATGGACGAACCAATCAAAAGAGTTTGAGGGATTTCAAAGTCATAGAGCCAATTTCAATACTTGATGCTCATTTACAATCGGTTCATAGTGGATTTTTAGAGAAAATATGATAATTGAGTGGCTACAACAATTAAGACTACTAAAAAGTTCCATTATTTATGATTGTGGTAATCAAAAGACTTGTGGACCTTGTGCAGACTACCGTAATATTGTTTTCTTTCGATGTAATATATGTTGGAGGAGGAGGTCTGCTAGAATAGGATTTTTTACTCGATCCAGATCGAGACTGTGGCAAACTATGACTGGATAAAAAAAGCATCAGCAACACTGGCTACAGCCAGGTACTGCAATATATACAAATGATTGGAACGTATACAGATGCTTATATTTACTTGGTTATGTGCATCGTGTCCTTATCCATAAACGGTATTTTGTGGACACAACAACCGGACTGCAAACAAACAATATTGCAACTACGTGATCGAGGCTGAAAGAGCTTTTGCGACCTTATCATGGCTCTGAAGGCCGACTATTATTAAGCTATATGGATAATTTCCTCTACCGTATGCATCATCATCATTAATTTGTGTTCTACCTTAAATTCTAAACATACAGACTCAAATTTCTTTTAGTTCAAATAATGTGATAAAGATGTCTATTGTTGTAACAATAAATGTGACTTCACTGACCGTTGCAACTATCTTGACGTGGTGGTCCAACTTGCCTGTCGAGATGAAGCAATCGGGCTATACTAGCTAGAGCAATCGTTCGTCAGGGTCCTACCATGCAACACATGTCGGTTGAAGAACGGTAAGACTAAAAGCAGTAAACTCAAGTTCCGAAGGCAAAGTCGTAATACTGGCTGTACAGAAGTGTGACGATATTAAGCTGTTTTCCTCTGACAACCAGTATGATAGCAATGCTGCATTCCCACAAAGGAAGTGTGAGGTTATAAAAGGTCCACCCTTTAAAATGCACACTTCACTGTATCCACCGGATTTCTGTCTGAGGTGGTCAGACTTCAACAAGTACGTAGCCAACACGAAAATTACCTTCAGAATGATCGTGTGTGACCGGCCTCAAACAGTTATCCCTTTGGGTACTGCGGTCACGCTTTCAGGTCACTAAGAACAACTCCAACCAAATTTCCTTTCGAGGTCCAGTCTTTATTCAATTACCGTTTTCATACATTACTCTTCAAAAAATTATTCATTTGGAACAACTTACCTATTGCACGAACCTACCAACAATTCATCTCTCATCTATAGCAAATATTATTACTGAGTGTAGTCATGTATCCTAATTTTAGTGGTAAAATGACTCTTGGACATTAGGTGACTTGATGTTTATAAATCTTTGACGTTTCATAGGACAGAATCTTACTTCATAATGAGTAGCCAATATCCTTCACCTGACGAGTGCAAGGTTATGTCGTATGTCTTTAAATGACGCTTTTTCTGTTTATGTGTGTGTTGGAGGGAGGCTAGTAGTATAGTCTAATTGATCAGATTAAATTAGGTGAACTAGGGCTCGAACTAGCAATTTACTAAACTACCCTTGCACTTAATATTATATAAATTAGATGCTCATAAATTCTAATATGTGTAGTGAAAGTTTATTTACAATTGACTGATCACTGGGTAGGGATCAGTGTGATGTATGTCAGGTCCTTCTTAGTGCATATCGAATCCTATCGACCAGGTGGCTATGTGGCCACTAGTCTAGGTGACTCGAAATTTTGCGCAATATGTTGAGATAAGATGGTGGTTAGGGGTAGTCAACAAGAAACCCTGGACCTAGGTTTCGTGCTACTTGGCACTCGTCAGTAAGGTGTACCTGAAACCTTGAGGGTACTGATGCTTCCTGACGAATTTTATCCTGTGTCACTCAGCTTCACAGTCAGAGACGCTGAGATATATTTACAATTGATTGATCAATGGATGGTGATCAATCTCATGTATGTCAAGAGTCATTATTTCTTATTATAAGTTGAAATCAAATGAGGAATTTTCGAGAACTTGAAGAAGTCTAGACATTTGATTTATTCTAGTTTATGATCTATCAGCAGCGCCCACCAATTACATCACTACATAGTATTGGACCAGTAGTTTTTAGATCATGGTATGAGTACAATACTTGTAAACCACTGAAATATTCTCTTTTTCTCTTTTACACAGATTTTAAAGAAAGATCATTTATTGCTAACAATTTACCCAGTCAAAGGATTTTGAGCGTTCAACCAAATAGTAAAGCGGAAAATGCTGGACTTGTACCAGGCGATTATATACTTGAGGTAAATTATTCAATGAAATTAACTGATGAATTAATAAACTAACTAACTGACTAGTTTCATCCCAACGAGTTGGTAACAATCAGGAGTATATCTTTAATCTAGGTTTCGTGGTAGTTAGAATTCATCAACAATTTTGTTTTGTTTTTATATGAATAAATATGTGGAAAAAAGGTATATGAAGTTGAAGAATGATATATAACTTACTTACTTGCTTACGCCTGTTACTCCCAATGGAGCATAGGCCGCCGACCAGCATTCTCCAACCCACTCTGTCCCGGGCCTTCTTTTCTAGTTCCACCCAATTCTTGTTCATTTTTCTCATGTCTATCTCCATTTCCCGGCGTAATGTGTTCTTCCGTCTTCCTCTTTTCCTTTGGCCTTGAGGATTTCATGTGAGGGCTTGTCTTGTGACGCGATTCGGTGCTTTCCTCAATGTGTGTCCCATCCACTTCCAGTGATTCTTCCTGATTTATTCCTCCACTGGGATCTGGTTTGTTCTTTCACACAGTAGGTTGTTGCTAATAGTGTCCGGCCAATGGATCCGAAGTATTTTGCGTAGACAACTGTTAATAAACACTTGTATTTTCTGGATGACGGCTCAAGAAAATAGACTGATTTGTTATTTGTATGGAGTTATATGTTTAACCTGTTGTTAATATTATGGTGAAGTATTGAGATTGGTTAGTCACTAATGGCATATATACATCCAGTGTAAATTGCCTCGGTATTGTGATATCGTTACATGTTTTCTATTTCAGTCGTTTAATGTCTATCGCTGTAACCAAGGTCACTTGTTTGATCCTATTCTGCTCTCTTCAACACCAAAATATAAACTTGTATGCATAATATATCTTGTGACTGCCAATTAGAGAGCAGAGGATTATCGATCGGACCAAGGACGCGTAAAACACGTGCGAACAGTCTAGAGTCCTGACTGGTCCTAGCCCGTCCAGTTAAGTCCAGAACACCAATCTCAGCCTCTACAATATGAATCATTTATTTCAAGCATACTGGGTTTATATGCAAACCAGACAGACCACATCGTACCATAAAATAGAAAATAACATTTGTACAAGATGTAGCCAAAAATGCCTGTGAACAAGGGAGGCAATGATTAATAGACAGAGCATAATTTAAGAATGGTAAATCGCATAATAATAGTTCATAGATCAAAATAAAGCTTGTGATAAGAGGGACATGAATATGAACAGTTTAGTTAATTAACAATTACACGATAAAACATATACGTATAATATTCGTCCATAAATGGATCCCAAAAGTTACCATTCATTATGCTTATTGGGACATAACAATGTATAAAACCTGTATCCGTAACACAGGTTATGAACAAACCAAATTTATTAGCTCAGTGCACAACGCGTTGAAGTTAGAAGTGAAAGATGCCATGTTTAAATCTTATTGGGGTCATCAACTTCAATATCATGTCTGTATGATCTTTAGTATTAATCTGATTATATTAATCAAATTGTAATACGAATACTAGTTTAATAGGTGGGGACCAATGAACACAAAACTAAAGTTCAGAGTTTCATCCCGACTATCTCCAACCGTCTAGAGTTAAAAAGTTATGCAGAAAATGTTGAGTCGCTCAGTACAGTAGCCACATTACAACTTCATCTAAATAATTTGATCACAACTAAAGACTAGTAAAACACGACATTGGTTACCACTCATGAATCAATCATTCGCTGCTAGAAAAACTCAACAATAACATCTTAGACTTGAAAACTGATTGGTATGGTTTTGAATCTTACAGAAATCATGAACTTTTTCAATATTGTATGTGTACACCTTACTGATCAGTTCCAGCTATCACAAAACCTAGTTCCAACAGGGAATTCTCGTAACTATTTCCAATCATTTAATAATATGCATTAATTGTTTTTTAACCAACAAAGATTATATCATGGATCGATTGAAGTTATACATTAAAACCGTTGGATGTCGGCTCAGTAGTTTATAGGTGGAGCTCTCGCGCACTAGACTGAAGATTTCCGGTTCAAGTCCCGAGGTCGTCCATAAATTATATACGTAAATGGATTTTTTCAAAAGATATATTTCATAGACTTATTGATCTATATAGACAATCAGGAAGACGAAGTGAAGGAAGCAGACCGAAATGAAGTGACTGTCAGTAGAGAAGGCGATTAAGACAACCCGTTTTGATCAAACGTGATTCAGATAAAAAAGGCTACAGACATGTAATGAATGAGATAAGCAATACGCACACATATGATGACATAAAATATAGTCAAGGTTAGTAAGCACATAAGTGATAAGGTCAAAATATATTTATTTGAACACATAAATATTTGTACAAAGGGGCACCAAATAGAAATGCGGCACACAAGTCTCTTGATTTGTGTATGGGCTCTGACGCTGCCCGAATGCCAAACCAATGCAAGTGGTATTCTTACGAGGCTACATCCAGGACAGTGAAGCAACGTCAGGAGATGTAGTCACATGGTGGTCGGTGACTAATAATTTGTTCATACGTCATTTATTCCCTCAGGATTCTAGGACCCATGTGCAACATTGGTCTATAATCAGTGTTTTCCAACTACCTTAGTTGGATCCTCTGTATCTACCTACCCTGTTGAAGCATCGGACATTCTCTTTACGTAAAAAAAACACCCCTGTCTTTAGAATGCAGTGAGTAGGACTTCTGTGAGATCGGCTGTATACGCATGATAGCATTTCGAGAAGAAGAGTTGACTATCCTCACTCTCGGTTGTACCACGGCATTTTTAAGTTTCAGAAGAATAAATAAACTAATCTGTCTAAATGCTAGAACAACTTATGTTGGCTTGACATAGTACCAATCATTACAACTCTACAATAGTTATGATTGATTTGAAATATGATTTATGTTTTAGATTAATGGTATGGATGTTTATGATGCAACGCATACACAAGTAGTTGATTTGATTACAACAACAAGAGATATGTTACAATTAAAAATTATCAACTTTCAACAGTTGCCAGAAATTCAGTCGAGTAAGTTCCTATAATATGATTATTAAATAATTTATATTTATAATAAAATGATTTTATACTACTGATATATGAGTAATGTGATAATAATAATAATAACTTTTAAGTAAAGATGGTTAGTGGCTAGCTGTGAAATCTAGGATGCGTGTTTTGTCCTATTTGGGACTCGTCAGTTGGATGTACCGGCATCTTAGAATTGATGTCCATTCTGTGACTCGCACCCAATAGCATTCACTTCATACGCCATCGCGTTATCCACTCAGCGATAACATTTTAATATTGTTCATGGACTCGCTCACTCATTCGCTTGCTGTTCGACACTCACATATGATTCTTGCCTGGTGTGCCTGTAGTTTTGGTGATCTGTGCGTGTTGTGCGATAATAAATGTAAACAACGCTTTGTAATCTTTTTCTGATTTCTACACACCATTAGGCGTTATCTAGTGATGGTTGTCAGGACGAGCAGTACACGAAGTTAAAAAATTATACCGAATGCCAACAACCAAAAACCCTTAAAAATAATGATAATGTAAATAGAACACCTGTTAGAAATGAGTTTGTGGCTAAAAATAATGAATACTGTTATTTCTGAATGATTATGTATAATGAAATACACTTAAGTGGCGATTTTCAAATGAAACGAAATGTATACATCCTTCATCTTTATCCAGAGGGCCAAAAATGCCCTGGTACGGCCGAGAATGAGGAGAGTCAGCCCTCCCTCTCGAAACGCTCTCAGATGGCCATGTACATACAAACACTTCCACAGGGTTCCTACTCACTGCCTTTTAAAGGCGGGAGTGTTATTTACGAAATTGAAAGGACAAGAAGTGAGTGTTTGGCGCTCTAACCGGGTTGATCGATATGGAGGATCCACCCATGGGATTTGGAAAACCCTGATTCCAAACCAGTGTTGTCCCTTTAATAAACCACCTGCTTCTGTTTGGATAACGAGGCAGTATTCTAGCTCTCACACAAATCGAATGATTTATCTGGCGCATATTTATTTAGTGCCACCTTGTACCAACGTTTATGTGTTTAAACAGAAACAACACATCTTTGATCTTTGTTCACAAAATGTAATCAATTAAATGGCATTCAAACTTATGAAGTAATATATCACTACTGAGGAGTCCCACAATAGGATGAAACCGCCGTCTAGTGCTTTCAGATTTTCCATGGTGTTCCAGCTTCAACTGACTCATGATCTCAACTATTGAAATTAACAGATCCTTGTTTGTTTGTTTTTCCACTATGATAATGAATATCTTATATGATTTAATCTTTTCTATCATTTTCTTTTGTAATAAATCAAGGAGTTATTAACGGTAATCATGGTAATAGTAATAATAATACTACTACTAATAATAATAATAGTATTATTACTAACACAAATCTCAACTACAGTAATAACAATACTAGAATAATGCATCGAACTAGTTTTTTACGTGCTGATCTTAGACGACGTAATACACAACGTTCTACAAGTGTTGATATGGCATGGAATACTCGACAGCTTAGTATTGATAATAATACAATGGATAATAATCATAACATTACTACTACTACTACTACTACTACTACTACTACTACTACTACTAATAATAATAATAATAATAATAATAATAATAACTATCGTCGATCCATTCAATCACTGAATACTAGTAAAGCTAATTATTTAGAAAGAAAATCTCGATCAGTTGTTTTAATCATTAAAGATGAAACTGAACAGTTGAAAGATTCATCAAGAACAACAACAACAACAACAACAATAGCAGCACGACCACTGTCAACAACATTATCATCATCATCATCATTATTATTATCGCCATCAATTTCATCATCACCATCATCATTATCACCACATATCAATAATACATATACTGATATTACTAATTTCAATGATAGTAGTAATTATAATAATCAACTTGAATGTCACATATCAAAATCATCAAATTTATTGTTATCAAATGAATTGAAAAACTCTGAACTTGATCGATCAGCAACAACACCAACAATAACAACTTTACATAATGAATTAACTAATAGACAAGATAAGTATAAATTCACTATGAAATCATTATCATCTTTAACAACAACAACAACAACAACAACAACATCACCGTCGTCATTATCATCGTCATCATCATCATTCTCTGCTCAACATCTTTTATATTTATCATCATCGTCTTTATCATCAAAATATAAACAAGATAATAAGATGATGAATACATTAAAACAATATCATAATGATACATCTGATCATAAATGGGATTCTGAATCAGATTTATTAAATATATCAGAAATCACTGAGATTTCTGTTATATCTATGAATGGTGAAACATTGAATAATAATATTGATAAACCGGTAGAATATAAGAAACAATCAAATTTTATAAAACCAACAACAATTAACATATTAACACCATCATTAATGTTGTCGACATCGACATCGACGACATCATCATCATCACCAGTAAAAAATAAATTGATAAATAAAGTAAACTTTCATATGAATGGTAAATTGAGATCAATAAAATCGGAACCATATCTTCATCAAATGAAAGCTGAAGTGAACAATGGTAACAATAAGAATAATTATAATAATCATGTAAGCACTTATTAGTTTTTTTACTTATATACATACATACGCCTATTACTCCCAGTAAAGGAGCATAGACTGCCGATCAACATTCTACAACCCACTCCTTACTGGACCTTCCTTTCTAGTTCTATCCCATTGTTCTTCATTCTTCTTCCTATGTCACTCTCCGTTTCTCTCTGCAATGTGTTCTTTCGTCTTCCTCTTTCCCTTTTTCATTGAGGATTCCATGTGAGGGCTTTTCTTGTGACACAGTTGGGTGTTTTTCTCAATCTATGTTCGATCCACTTCCAACTCTTTTTTGGTCTCATTTCTTTCTCCACTGCAATGTGGTTTGTTCTCCTCCACAGTACGTTGTTGCTAATAGTGTCCGGCCAACGGATCTGAAGTATTTTGCGTAGACAACTGTTAATAAACAATTATATCTTCTGGATGATGGATTTCGTAGTTCTCCAAGTTTCCACCCCATACAGTAGAACTGCCTTGATATTTATATTGAAAATTCTGATTTTGATGTTGGTTGACAGAGAGTTGTTTTGAGTTGCAGATGTTCTTCATTTGTAGATATGTTGTTCTTGCTTTGCCGATCCACGCCTTCACATCTGCATCAGATCCACCGTGTTCATCAATCATGCCACCCAGATATGTAAAAGATTTTACATCCTCCAAATCTTCTCCATCAATTGTGATTGGATTGGTGCATGTTTTGCTTTGTTGGGGAATCTTGCTTTTTCCATTGTGTATGTTGAGACCTACTGTTACTGAGGCTGTTGCTACAGTGGTCGTCTTCTTCTACATTTGTCGTTGCGTGTGCGATAGAATAGCCATATCATCTGCGAAGTCCAGATCATCCAACTGCATCGTAGCTGTCCACTGTATTCCATGCTTCCGCCGGGATGTTTACGTCTTCATAATGCAGTCGATCACCAGGGGAAATAGAGAGGGTGAGAGTAAGCAACCTTACCTGACACCGGTCTTTACATCGAACGAGTGTGTGAGCTTTCTTCCATGCAAGATTTCGCAGTTTGATCCATCATAGGAATTACGTATGATGTTGACTATCTTTATTTTTTTACTCGGAACTAATAGTTTTTATTAAATATCAAAGTTGTTAGACTACTCATACATTAAGACTAATGATGACAGTGGTCTTTTTCAACATAATTTTGGCGAGTCTATAACTTATGGACGACCTTTGACCTTAAGGGATATTAGCCAATAAGGAAACAGTTAATATAGAGGAAAAACTAGAGTTAAATTGGATACACTTCTTTTACAGGGTTCAAAAACTTGTCAAGGTTAGATAGAAGTTCAAAGGTCCTAGAATCCTAATGCACACGGTAGTGGAATTCATCCATATGGCTCTATAATAGTCAGCCTCTGAAGCCACAATAAGGTGGCAAAAACTCTTTCAGTCTCGACCACATAGCTTCAATATTGTCTGTGTGCACTTTATTGATTTAAGCTTGTCATGTTTATTAAGCATATATCTCTATTCTAGCAGACTTCTTCCTCCAACATATATTACATCGAAAGACAACATCATCATGGTAGTCTGCACAAGGTCCATATGTCATTCGATTACCACGATTACAAATAAAGGAACTTTTTAGTAGTCTTAATTGTTATAGCCGCTCAATTATCACATTTTCTCTAAAAATCCACTATGAACCGATTGTAGTTGAGCATCAAGTAATGAAATTGGCTCTATGACTTTGAAAACCCTAAAACCCTTTTGATTGGTTCGTCCATATATTATAGTCTTGCCAAATTTTATTATTTTATTACCATAGTAACTAATACAAGTAAATTTTAGTGAAAATGTCAAGATAAATCTGTTTTTAAGGAACAGAAAAACTGTATCTATCAAATGACATCAGAAAAATTAATTTGAACAGCTAACTGAAATTCGGAAAGATAGTTTACTTTAATCAAAATTCAATATTGCTGATGATGTCATTCCGAAGAAAGATAAAAGCTCCATGACCAAACTATCCAGTTCAAAGAATAAAACTCTATCAAAATTAAATCAATATTTGTTACAGCCAGTGTTCATCTTACTGTGCTAATGCAATATGGCAACTTGAACCAATGCATATATGTGCCTGGTCCTACGTTGTAGCTAACTGACAGACGGACAAGAATTAAGTATTGATATTGACTATTCATTGAATGTTGTAAATTAAAGTTACATTCTTCCAAGTCATTAGTGTTGATAGAAATTTGTCGATTAAGTTACAATTAAGTGACTAATCTGACTAACTCAACAATGCAAGTATCTATACTGTACAGATCATTACTTACATCTTTAATAGTATATTAATAAGTTGTCAAATTGTAGAACTGAGTGAATTAAGTTCAGAGCTTACAGGAAGCGACAATTCCTTCATTTTTCCAAGCATGACTTGTTAACGAATTTCAAATAGCTCAGGTGTTTGAAAGCATTCAGCTCTTAATTCTGATCCACTTCTTTGTGGACTAGATACTTCGGTTAAAGAATCAACTGTTGTTTCTTTCTAGAAGGCCACCTATTTCCAACTGGTATTCAAGTCATCATTACAAATTATACCGGATCAAAATGAGTCAAATGAAGTAGAGCTTAATAAACACATAGTTAATATTTGAATAATTTAATTTTGCCGAGAAATTTCATCGTCTACTTGAATCATACCCATTCAGTTGATGAGTAACATCCCGAATCATCATAATTATTGAATTACGTAGAAATTTAACACAATCTAAAGTAATTTCAATAGTTGAGATCATGATTCAATTGAAGCTAGACCGCCATGGAAAACGTGAGAGCACTGGACTCCTCAGCAGTGCGTATCAACGACCCCGCCTCGAGAGATTCAAACTCAAGACCTACTGGTATCGCACACAAGCACTTAACCACTAAACCACTGAACCAGTCGGCACTCAGTGGTGTTAATGTCTAATTTCAACTAATCCACGAAATTGAGCGACACATCCACCATTGTTATCAGTGAGTTACTATCTCACAAAAGACCCGGCTGAACTCCACTGCTCACTAGAACTCCAGGATATACCTTTTGGAGACCGTCACTAGTGAGCACATGTTGATTAGTATCAGAAGGGGTTTTGTGGACATTATAGTAATTTCAATGGTTGAGATCATGAGTCAATTGAAGCTAGACCACCATGGCTAACCTGGAAGCACTTGACGGCCGTTTCATCTTATTGTAGCCTGTTTTTGGATTCACCCTGAATGTCAAACCAGTGATGGTCCCCATTTTGAAACACTGAATTCAGTATCCTTTACACCTATTATCTTAGTAAATTTAACACTGTACACTATTTGTCTATGAAGAAATTAGATTTAAAAAGAATGGGGATGTCGTCGTAAAATCAAGAATAGTTTATCTGGATTTCTATATTTTTAAGTTCCTTACAACCCCTAGTACTCAGAAATGAAAATCGCACATTTCCTTCGGTTAAAAACTAGATCAGATATTATAGAAAATGGGTAGTGGTTTGTAATGGAATGCAGGACGCGCGTTTTGTCCTGTTTTGGACTCGTCAGCTGGATGTGCCTACATTCCACTGCTGGTCACTATTTATCTTTGTTTATAGTACTTGTGAATTAAGGCAATATCGAGGCCATACGAACAGTATTTATACGTGCCAATAAGAGACTGATCAAGGGGAAGGTTCAAGTAGACAGTACCAGGTGAATTTACATCAAATATATCTCAGGACAGAAGCCAATGATCACTTCTGATAACACTCCTACATTTATGTATACATTGGATTGCATTAAAGTATATTCATTGTAAATCAGTAACGGAAACTTTTAAACTCTAGTAATAACCAGTATATATCGAAGGGAATATTTGTTTAATATATTCAACCCTATACAGATCAAATATGGCCGCACATGAACATTTCAAAACAACTAACTACATCAATTTCAATTTGAAAATTCATCTAGTAGGCTATTCAAGACAATTTAGATGAACTAAAAGCAATGTTGACTAGTGTTGGAGACGGCTGGAAGAAAGTTAGGGGCGGTCAAACCGAAACGTGACATCAGTGTTTGAAATCACTAACTTCTAGTCTGAGCCATGTTGGTAGATGCAGACTACTTTGTTGGGGTCCACGTGACTATCTTAATCAATGGATGTAGACTGTGGGTGACATGGCTCAGAATTGGTCAGAATGCCGCCGGTGTATATACTCTGTTTTCCCTTCTATGAATTGATTCTTTCTCTCCATATCATATCATTATACACAATCTTCCTTTTATATATTACTACCACTGAAGTAACTAGTTCTATGAATTTGTTCATCTTATTTTGCTAATGTGATGTGTCATCATGGACTGATGCATGTAAGTGCCTGGTCCTACATTGTAGCTGACTGACTGAAATGAGATAAAATGAGGCGATAAACAGTCAAAGTAAACATCGACCATAGGGCAAATAATACAGTTAACATAAGAACCTCTTCATAATCAAAATACTATGAACCAAATCATAAAAAACAAATGAACTCTCAAGATGATCTATATCATTTGTAAAATGTTAAAATGACTAATCAAAAGTCAGTATAGAGTTGTGAAGATCATTAAGTTTTTGATTCAGATCATAAACCGATTGCTAGTAGACCACTATGCAAAACCTAGAAGAACTGGATGACAGTTTCGTCCTATTGTTGGACTCATCAGCAGTGCTTATCCATGATCCAACCTCGTGAGATTTAATTCATTGAATAAAATGAATATAGTGTAAAATTATATTTTGCTTAATAAACATGACTCAATCTAGTGAATCTTTATCACTTTTTTTGTCATAAGAGTTCAATAAACCTCTTGAAATCACTTCATAAGATTTAGTTTAACTTGTATGATCTTAGTTTCTAATTGAATATTGAGAACAGTTGAATCAAGAAAATGAACAACAAACTTTCAACTTAATCATCAACATATATCTATTGAATAGATACTGTTTGTCAATTATGCTAACTGTCACCCATATTCCATTTACTAATTAAGCCTTTAGATCATATGAATCAAAGCGGAATAAAACAAACTCCTAGTGTACTGAACGAAAATACAATTGGAGGGGGGGGGCAGTTAGTCAAATGCATTTGAACATCAATTACAGAATGTGATACTAAAATTTATGAATCATACAGTAAATATTTCATTTGAAAGATATCAATTGCTTTCTGTTCTTGTTCTTTCCTTCTCGATCTTCTATTGAAATACATTCTATTCCTCACTATCGTTATATATTACTTATGTGGATTTAAGTAGCTCACATCACAGGAATAGTGTTTGACATTGAAAGTATAGCAAAGGAATGTTAAAGGCATAGAATGCTCATTTCTTAAACACATTGTTCCAATTGGAATTTACTGGAGAGATTTTTTTTATCAAAATCGTGGTTTATCAAAGTTTATTCTTCAAAGCTGTTAATATTTCACAGTTCGATTGATTTTCATCATGAACATCATCTTAAAGGTAACTGTTTCGTTAGAATGACTTTTACAGAACTTTTCAACGGCATCTATGATCAAATACTTACAACTGATACGTGTCTAATGTTATAACTTGTGCTCTGTGTCCTATTAATGTATAACGCAATGATACCGCTAATTAGAGAACGGTGATTTATTGACCGGACCAATGATGCATAAAACCTGTACGAACAGTGTGGATTCTTTACCGAGCCTGTTTCCTGCCTAGCCCTGCCTGTTAAGTCCAGAATACCAAACTTAGCCTTTGTGATATGAATCATTTATTTCAAACATACTGGGTTTATATACCAACCATACAGATTACACCGTACCATAAAATAGGAAACAACATTTGTAAAGTTCTAGCAGGAAGTGGCTGTGAATGTAGGAGATAGTGATTGATAGACTGGGCATAAATCAAGAATGGCAAGTCATATAATAATAGTCTATAGGTCAAAATAAAGCTTACAATAAGGGGGACATGAATATGAATAGTTTAATTATTTAACGTTTATACGATAAAAATGTACGCATAGTATTGGTCCATAAATGGATCCCAAAAGTTACCATTCATTATTCTCATTGGGATATAACATCCAATAACTTCGGAAATTAATTATTCAGAAAGAACTGCTAAGCAGTATACTTCCCATTTGATATATATTAAGCGCTAGAGTTATTTTCTAGATGTACCAATCAAGTTAAGCGGTACCACCTACTGAATATGCCATACAAAGTGGATCTAATCAGGGCATAAAAATATAGTAACTGATAAATGACAGATTTCCAGTTTGCTGATATTCACAAAGATGTTGACAACATGGTAACTGATATATGATTTGTGTGTGATTGAATTTATTACTTCGGTGATATCTCAGTTATACTGATTCATATGTGAATCAATATGAGTTGTCATTACCATATCAGAATAATGCGACGAAATTACTAATATCAATAGAAGTATTAGTAATAATGAGAAACATTAAGCACAGATAAATTGATTCGAGAGATAATGAGTTCATAGACTAAAAACTATAAGGGAAGATAAACAGTGGATTGATCTGCACCATTGCAGTATATTTTGATACCTGTCACTCATGGTCTCCAATCATTGGTTGTGATAATAAAGCGGACAGTAGCTAGGTAGTCTTCACGTACTAAAACAACTCAGTTCAGTACTTGGTGAGTTCATGAACTCATCCCATCTCTTGGCTTGGTCACTCGTAGCTTTAGTCCAACCTACTTCTACACCATTAACAGGGCACATTAAAGTATGCAATCGTTGGGTGCATATAATTAATGTCCTAACCACTTCAACCGATGAAGATTGATTTGCCAACTTTACTTTGTACTGTGTGTCTGATCTTAACACTACTCACTTGATTATCCTAGTATACGCTACGAATGAATGCTTCGAAATCATCTATGATTGAATATCAATCACCTAATAACATCTATTTCTAAAGGTCATGTCTCTCAGTCATAAGGTAAAATAGGACGAATTGTTGTACAATGTATTCGTCTTTTCCTGACCATTGTTGCTAGGATGATGTGGTGGTCCAACTTGCCTGTCGTATTCAACCAATCGGGCTATACTGGCTAGAACAATCGTTCATCAAGGTCCTACGATGCAACACAGGTCAGTTGAAGAATGGTAAGACTAAAATCAGTAAACTCGAGGTCCGAAGGCAAAGTCGTACTACTGACTGTACAGAAGTGTGACGGCAGTAAGGTGTTTCTCTCTGACAACCAGTATGATAGCAATGCTGCATTCCCCCAAAGGAAGGGTTGGGTTATAAAAGGTCGACCCTTTAAAATGCACACCTCACTGTATCCACCGGATTTCCATCTGCGGTAGTCAGATCTCAACACGTACGTAGCCAACACGAAAATTACCTTCAGAATGATCGTGTGTGACCGGCCTCAAACAGTTGTCCCTTTGGGTATTGCGGTCACGCTTTCAGGCCACTAAGACCAACTCTAATCCAATTTCTTTTTCAAGTACCTCCAGAAGAACCCTTCCACGGTGTTGGCAACCGAGAAGTGATAACCGCCCTCATATCTCTAACAGCATTCAAGACCACTGTAATCAGAATCAACCTCTCTCTTTAATTCCGTTGTAGCTGACTGACTGATACCCATCTTTTAATGGATAATGAAAATCTCGTCTACATTACAGATGAAATAAGTTGGGGAAAAAACCAAAAAAGTTATTTGAACACGTACCAAGTTTGTTTTCAAACTTCAATCTGGCCAGACTGATGAAACGTCTAAGATAATTGAAATGGTTTATGCATTCAATTACATTTAAGAACCATTCCAAGACCATTTCCTACTTTATCTCAGAAGATAATTCATTGATAATGTACACAAACAAACCAAACAGATACCAAATTCATGAGATCCAATTGTACCATATTAGATTTAGACCACTGAATCTCGCAAGGCAGGGATCGCAGATGCGCACTGATGAGGAATCCCACAGTAGGACGAAATTGTCCGTCCAATGCTTCCAAGTTTCCCATGGTGGTCTAGTTTCAATTAACTCATGATCTCAACTACTAAAATGTAACTCAACTCTTAATGTTTCCAACTTATATATCATTAGTTTTCTACGGGATGAGGTCGCTAATCCCATGCCCGAATCCTCCTCCTTTATCCGGGCATGAGACCGGAAGAAGCTCCAGAGGGACCAGTGATTACATTGGAACTTGATAAATAGAATTCGATCGTTTTTATTACACTTTTCTATGACGTGTTATTTATCTAATTATATTCATTTCTCTTTGTTTAAATGTTCATACATTTCAGTCTTGTAATGATATCAAAGCCTCTACAGAACAGAAAGCTCCAATCAATAATAACTTGAAAATAAATGGTCATGAAATTGATGGTAAGTACCATAAATTAAGAATGTGAACTTTGATTCTTGTTGCTTATAATCAGCTAGAAAGTGTAGAATAGTTGAGTTATTCTTATTCTCTAGTTGTCATCAATATGTATCCAAGACTTTACTCTCATTCAGGGATTGTGACCATAGCACTGAGATCTAACTTTACATTTAATGATTCAGTATCTAGTGGTTAATATTCACAACACCGATTACCACAACGTGCAATGCTAACCGGTGTTGGAGATGGTTGGAAGAAAGTTAGGAGCGGCCGAACTAAAACGTGGCATCAGTGCTTGAAGTCACTAACTTCTAGTCTTATTCATGTTGGTAGATGCAGACTACTTGGTTGGGGTCCGCGTGTCTATCACAACCAATGGTTAGAGACTCTTGGCGAACATGGCTCAGAATCGATCACAATGGTGTAGGTGTATACACTCTCTTTGTGTTCCCTTAAACTAAGAGATTAAAATCGCCCCATATCTTTCTTTCTATGGACTAATTCTTTCTTCCTATACTATATCCTTATATAAAAACTTTCTCTTTTATATATTACCACCATTGAATTAACTACTTCTATGAATTCGGTGTTCATCTTGTTGTGTTAATGAGGTATGGCAACTTGGACCGATGCATATATGTGCCTGGTCCTACGTTGTAGCTGATTGACGGACAACTCCTCAGGTTAGAAATGTGTATCATTTGATAAACTTACAAAAATTTATTCAAATTGGTAGATATTAAGGAAATATTGAGAATATAAAAGTTGACAAACCTTAAAACAACTTTCTCATCCAACTGATCATCAAGTCTCACAAAAAGTGATTTTAAAAGATAAAAACATTGACTAATTGCCTAAATATCTATCAAGGATACAAAAATACCATTTCAATATATAACATTGTTATGGAGATCCAGAAAATTCCTCGAAAGAAAGCCTAAAAAAGCGCTCTGAAAATGCTCAGAAACGTCTTATCCAATCAGTATTCAATAGAAGTTATGCCAGAAACATTTAGAAAGTGAAAAGTAATATTTCGTGTTTGTGATTGGATGATTGACATGGTGGCAAAGATTTGTTGCTCAGATCGACGATTTTGATGGAGTTTTGTTCTCTGACCTGGATTGGTTTGGTTGTGGAGCTTTCATCGTTCTTCTTAATAATTACCTTTCTTGAATTGATACAATCTCACTTGTACATTAAATTAGTTTCTTGACATAGTTAGGATGAAAATAAGCTATTATTTGGTATACTTAGATAAATTATACTATGAAGAATATAGGTTGTATTGTTCTGTGACCCGTTAAATATCATGTCAGTAAATCGACAATCAGTACACCGACTTATATGACCTTGTCCTGTGTTAAACCAATGATGAGTTGACCAACACTAGGAGCTTTGAATCAACTCGAAGTCCTTATTAATCCTGTGAATAGTAGCTTCTCGTCTAGCCTAGTCGGTTCAGTTCAGAACATAAATATTAGCTTTCACTGTATGAATTGCATATTTTAGACATACTTGGTGCTAGATCTATCGAAGCGTCCAGGTCATCCAATTAAGATACGCACAAAACCGAAGTTGGCAAAACAACGATTTGTCTAAAATAGCGGTTCTTTTTTAAATAATACATAAAAATTAGTTACAAACCTCAGCTTGTGAGGTGTCTGTGGCGTTTAACGTGTCAACTTAAGAATAGTAAATCTTATAATAGTAGTCAATAGGTCAAGTGAAGGCTTAATACAATAAGAATAATGAATATATATATAATCTAGTTACTTGATGATAGTCCATAAATGATTCCCAGCAGTTACTAATCATTTATTCTTCGTTGAGATATAACAGGTTACTAAATACAAAATTAACTTTCTGAATCAACACGAGAAAAACCTTAACTACTTCTAAGTTAGTAACTTACTTACTTACTTATGCCTATCACCCCCAATGGAGCATAGGCTACCGATCAGCATCATTATCCAACCCACTCTCTACTGGGTCTTCCTTTCAAGTTCTTTCCAATGGTTGGTCATTCTTCTCATGTCTGTCTTCATTTCTCGGCGTAATGTGTTCTTTGGTCTTCCTCTTTTCCTTAGGCCTTCAGGATTCCATGTGAGGCCTTGTCTTGTGACGCAGTTGGGTGCTTTCCTCAATGTGTGTCCTATCCACTTCCAGCGCTTCTTCCTGATTTCTTCCTCCACTGGGATCTGGTTTGTTCTCTCCCACAGTACGTTGTTACTAATAGTGTCCGGCCAACGGGTCTGAAGTATTTTGCGTAGACAATTGTTAATAAACACCTGTATCTTCTGGATGATGGCTTTCGTAGTTCTCCAGGTTTCCGCACCATACAGTAGAACTGTCTTGACATTTGTATTGAAAATCCCGAACTTGGTGTTGGTTGACAGAGTTGTTTTCAGTTCCAGATGTTCTTCAGCTGTAAATATGCTGCTCTTGCTTTGCCGATCCGCGCCTTCACATCTGCGTCAGATCCACCCTGTTCATCAATGATGCTGCCCAAATACGTAAAGGTTTTTACATCTTCCAAATCTTCTCCTCCGTGATTGGATTGGTGCATTCTGTGTTGTATCGGAGAATCCTGCTTTTGCCTTTGTGTATATTGAGACCTATTGCTGCTGAGGCTGCTGCCACACTGTTCGTCTTCTCCTGCATCTGCTGTTGCGTTTGGGATAGAAGGGCCAGATCATCTGCGAAGTCTAGATCATCCAACTGCATCCTAGATGTCCATTGTATCCCGCGCTTCCCTTCAGACGTTTATGTCTTCATGATCCAGTCCGTCACCACGAGAAAGAGAAAGGGTGAGAGTAAGCAACCTTGCCTGACACCGGTCTTCACTTCGAACGACTTTGTCAACTGTCCTCCATGCACAATTTTGCAGTGTAATCCATCATATGAACTCTGTATGATATTGACTATCTTCTGAGGCACGCCGTAGTGTCGAAGAAGCTCCCATAGTGTTGTTCTGTCCACTCTATCAAATGCCTTTTCGTAGTCAATGAAGTTGATGTACTTTTGGATGATAAGGTTTGGTAATTCTCAAAATCCCCCACCCTAAAAAAATATGATAGAAATGTCTTGACATTTATGTGTGATGTTTAGATAAAAATATATTATTCATATCACCCTTTGATCATAGTTAAACAACCACTAAGAACTATTGGTGTTCAATTACATTCAACTCGAGGCAGTTACATATCAATTATATTAGAAAATGATTTAAAAACATTATTGATTCATTCAAGTTAGAATAAAGAATCAGTAAATCATCATTTCATAGTCTATATAGTTAACACTCAATACAATTCCTAGTTATGTTCAATTCTATCGATAATGTAAGTTATGGATCCATGAGCCAGTTGTTCAATCCACTTTCATTTCAATATCTTTGATATAAACAATAAAAATTAAACACATTCTATAGTCAGTGAGTCAGTCAGTCAGCTACAACGTAAGACCAGGCATATATATATGCATCGGTCCAGGTTGCCATACTTCATTAACACAACAAGATAGACACAGGATTCATAGGAGTGGTTAAGTCAATGGTAGTAATATATAAAGGAAAGATTGTATATAAGAATATAGTACAGGAAGAAAGAATTAGTCCATAGAAAGAAAGATATGAAGTGATTTTAATCTCTTAGTTTAAGGGAAAACAGAGAGTGTATACAAAACTTCTTGAACTAGAAACATATGGATTAGTTCATATATCTATGAATGGTTAATCTTTTCTTTTTTTCCTTTTCTTTTCTTTTTTCTTTTTCTTTTTTTTCTATCTTTATCAGGTAAACTTTTTTGTTTATAAATTTCTCTTTATTCTTTAGATGATGAATCAGATTCATGTTTAATTTAATCAACAAAAGAAATCATAAATAATGATTACATAATTATAAAAAGTATTTCAGTGAAATAATCAAATTAGGTAAGTGTTAATAATCATTACCTTGGTATATTCAATGTATTATAAGTTTATAATCAGAGACGAGTTTTTGTGAATATTTTAATCGTTGAGATCATGAGTCAATTGAAGTTAGGCCTCTGTCAGAGAAGTCCTACTTACTACCTTCTCGTGGCGAGGGTATTGTTTACGAAGTTGAGAGGACGAAAAGCGAATGTCAGGCGCATCAACCGGGTTAGTGAACACGGAGAGTCCACTTAGGGGAGTTGGAAAACCCTGATTCCAAACTAATGATGCACATGGGCTCCAGTAGCCTGAAGGAACAAATGGTGTATGAACCAATCGTTGGTCACCGGCTACCATGGGACTACATCTCCTTATGATGCTCCACTGTCTTGTGGATCAGATCTTCAGGTCGAAGGCTCCAGGTGTGGCACTCTAATAAAACTACCTGCTTCGGTTAGGGCACCGGGGCAGTAGCACAGCCCTCACACATATCAAATGAGATCTGTGTGGGGAATATGTATTTTGTGCCTCCTTGTACCAATATCTATGTGTTAAAATAAATAAATAATAAATGAAGTTAGGCCACCATGGAAAATCTGGAAGCATTAAACAGCCGTTTCGTCCTATTGTGGGACTTCTCCTTGCTAATGCCCATTCACGATCCCGCCTTACCAGATTCGAACTCAGAATCCATCAGTCTCGTGTGTGGATGCTAAACTTCTAGATCACTGAGCCTGTTGGTATTCAACGATGTTAATGTCTAACTTCAACCAATTCACGAAATAAAGTTCGAATCTATGTCAAAAGATGTGTTATGATTAAGCATTTAACTCTATAACCACCATTCAAATTCAGTAATACTATCTCTAACTTTTGAGTGAACGTTTAGCTGCTAAAGTCATATAAAACATTAAGGTAGATGAATGTATTTGTAAAATCTTAGTGGTTGAATATGAAGTAAACCTAACATTTCACATGACAATCTGTTCTATGGCTTTCTAACGAAATATAATTAAATATCAAAATGATTGAATTATTAGTGTTTGATTATATTTCTTTGAAAAAGATTGAATCAAACTGTCAAGTGAAACATTGAATTTACTTTATATTCAATTATTAAGATTTTACAAGTATATTCCTCCTAAACAAATATAGTTGATAGTTAGCGGTGGGATCCAGGAATTGCGCCACTCGTCAGCTGGATATACCTGCATCTTAGAGTTGATGTTCACTCTTGAACTTGAACTCAGTGCCATTCACTTCAAATACCATCGTCTTATCTACTTAGCTACCGATTCGTAATAGTTACATGTTTATACAATGAGATGAAGTTAAAATTCACTTGGTATTGTTTGCTTGACTATTATGATTCAATAGCTAAGTGGATAACAGCAAGAGGTTTGAGACTAAGAGTGAACATGAACTCTGGAATTCACGTACATTCAATTGACCAGTTTCAAATAGGATGAAGTGGTTCACATCCTAGATTCCACTGCTAGCCACTACTCATCTTTCCCTTATAATGATTGTGAATTAAAGCAATATAGAGGTAATCCACAGAGTATACACATATGCCAACAAGAGATTGGAAGGATTCTTTATTTTTTTTTTTAGAAAAAAATAAAACAGTCAATATTTTTTTTATTTTTTTGTTTTCTTTTTAGTTTACTAAAATTTTTTCTCTAATTTTTTTTTATTGATTGATCATTTAGTTCATCAAAAAAAAAACACAAAAAAAACGTTTTTTCTACAGATTTCAAATTCAATTAATCGTATAGGAAAATATTGACGAAACCATACACCCACACGCACACCCACATGCACACCCACACTCTGGCACACACACACACAAACAAACAAACAAATAAATAAGTAAACAAACAATAATTTATTTGCATTTATTCAAAAATTCTTTGTTACTTATTTTATAGTCTACTTTTTATATTACTAATAAATCATGAACAATACTACTGATATTCATTATTTATCATCATGATCATCATTCGCATCATCATTGTGTGTGAAATATAAAGATTGATTTATATATATAAATGATATAATATTACATCATATATACATATAATACATGTTCAATAATGTACTTGAATAACATTGTAACAAGAAAGCAATCTGTTATGATCATATCATTGATGTTGCTTATTTAAACAATCATAAATCATAACATTGAACATTGAATATTGAATATTGAACATTGAATTTATTAGTCAATGATTGAATATTTTTTTTGGCAAGATTATAATTTATGAACGAATTAATCAAATATTAAATAGAAAGTTTTGAGATTTTAGGCGGGAAATTTATTGTCATCCAATTTGGTAAAATAGAAATGTTTTTGATGGTAGTTTATGATATAACAAAAAACACCTCGAAATCTAATTGTTAACCTTTAATCATTATGTGTAAGTGATAATTTGAATTCTTCATTACATGTTCATAATCTTCAGTTTGATCTTGATTATTAAATAAACACTCTGATGGTTAGTTTGGCATCATTCAGACATGAATCATAAATGATAGTCTCATGAATATTTTTCAACAACAACAAGAAAAAAAAGAAAAAAGAAAAAAAAGAAAAGAAAAGAAACAAAACTTTCAAAAACAATCTCTTCACATTCCAATTACTTTTTGATTGTTATTATTGTTTGTTTATCATGTTTAATAATGGATCATAATAAAAACTGGATTGTATTCTGTTTTCTTTTCTTTCTTTTCTTTTCTTTTTTTTTACAAAACAAAAAAAACAAAAAAGAAGAAAAGAAAAGAAAGATGAACAGATTACATTTATTATTACTATTACTGTTATTATCATTATGATTTGAATGATGTTTGTATTAATTTACAATAAATATTGATTGTACACAAAAAATAATCTTTTTCTTTTTGAGATGAGAAAAATAAACAAAAACAAAAAAAGAAAAGAAAAAAGAGAGAAAAGAAACTGATATTCAATAAAATAAAGATACCATTTTTTTTTCATTTTTTTTAATACAACAATGGATGATTATCGATTTCAATATTATGTAATATGTCCATGAAATTCTTCTTCTTCTTCATCTTATTATTATTCTCATTATAGATTTCATTTTACGAATCAATATGTCTGTTTGATCAATTTGATATGATGTTCATAATGATGATGATCGTGATCATGATCATGAAAGTTGACAAATATTCTTTTCATAATCACTTTCATATACTTTAATTCTAATCTGTTTGATCTTCATTTACTTACTTACCTACCTGCCTACTTACTTACTTACTTACTTGCTTACTTACTTACTTACTTACATTGTGTATATTTTCTTTTTCTTACCTTTCAGTTTCAGTTCTATACTTTTTATATAAATTCAATTGTTAATGATGAATAGGGCGCGTTATTTTTCTTTTTTGTTATTTAACTTTTGCGATGTTAATCCAGATCAGATTTACAATGCGTTGTTGAGAACGGTTTTGTTCTATCTTTGTGAAATTTGATTTCTCTAAGTTAAGAATGTTACACAACTCTTTGTTTGTTTGTTTTTTTTGTGTATGTGTGTGTGTGCGTGTGTTTCATCATCGTTGTCATTGAAGCTGTTATGACCTTCGATGTCTGACTTTTCTATCACACGATTTATCTACCAATCCGGATATGACTTATACGAATCTTCACACTAGGCCAACCAATGACGTTCAACCGGTGTGGGCAGTTTAGCGTCCTTATTGGTCCTATGTCCTACGAGCCCTTCCACTTGAGTCCAGAACAAGATACCAGCTTCCGAATCAGAGCAGATCGTTTATTTCAGGCATACTTGGTTTATATATCAATCATACAGACCGCAACGTACCATAAAATAGGAAATAATATTTGTACACAAATAAGCCCAAAAAGTGGCTGTGAATGAGGGAGGCAGTAGTTAGTAAACTGAACATAACTTAAGAAGCGTAAATCGTACAATAATAAATTATAGGCCAAAATAAAGCTTATCATAAAAGGAATATAAATATACATAGTGTAATTGTTGAGTAGTTATACAATAAGAATATTAGTCCATGAATAGTCCTCGGAAGTTACCTGTAATTTAATCTCCACTCGGATATAACAGAAGCATTGATGACATACAATGGTAATACCATTGTTAGTAATGAGAAGGTTCGATATCGTGTATTTAGACATAGTGAGGATCATTCAATTTAGTGTTAAAAGTCTACATTAGTACATTTCTATGATCAATTAAACTACTTTTATCAGAATGGGTTTTGTGGAGAATTTTAGAATTTTCACAGTTTTTGAAATCATGAGTCAGTTGAAGCTAGACCACCATTGAAAACCTGGAAGCACTGGACGGCCGTTTCGTCCTAGTATGGGACTCCTCAGCAGTGTGCATCCACGATCCCACACCACGCGGGGCTCGAACCCAGGACCTACTGGCTTCGCGCGCGAGCACTTAACCATTAGACCACTGAGCCGGCATCCAACGGTGTTAATGTCTAACTTCAACCATATACTTATTGTTTATTTCTAGGGATTTATTCTACTCATAGTTAAGTTATTCTTATTCACTATGAATATCAGTCTATTTCAATCTATTTAACTTATAAGAACATATAGACTATCTTTTAAATAAACAATCATTTTGTCATAATGTCAGCTATATTATTGATTCTTATAAACATGATAACATTCATGTATTAAAAAAAAGTGCATCGGATTATTGATTTATGTCATAAACAAATATAGAACTTACACGGATTAGTAACCAATATTATTCCTAACAGAATACTATTGACTAACTTTAGAAATAATCACTAGCCTAAATAACTGGACATTACTAACACTAGTGTTTTGTGTGTGTGTGCGTGTGTGTGTGTGTGTGTGTTAAGTGGTTGAAGGAAATCGTAAAAACGTTCTGTATCACGGTTTCCAATTCCTTGAGACTTGTGAATAAAACACATTTGAATTTATGCTGAAACTGATAAATTCAATGAACTGTGAATCATTATCATCCA